TCCATGAAAAGTTTTAGAGTTGTACCCTTTACCTTTCTTAAGAAAAGGCTAGTGGAAAATAAGACATTTAAGTATTACCAAGAATCTAGCCTATCTCTATATTTCTTCCATATGTTAATTGGCTTATTGTGACATAGAGTCCCACTAACTCAGGAACATTTTCTACGCTGACATCACATTGGCTCTGAGATTGTTGCTGCCCTATAGTTCTAATCCCTGTTTGGAAAGGGAAGGAAGGAGAAAGTGACAGGAGGAGGGGAGTCATGCAGGAAGAGGGGAAAGGAATTAGTGGCTGGAGGCCACCCCCAATCAAAACCTTCACAAAACCTTGAGAAACAGGGCAAGATATCCTTCCAGGCAAGATACCCCTTACAGAGGAAAAGTTCTGGAGAACTTAAGGCAGCTCTAGAAGGGAAGGGAGCAAGGGTTAAGGCGGCCCTCACAGCACAGCCTGAGAACAAATTACAATGCACTTAGCCACAGAGAGGCCACGGCAATACACAGAGCCTCTTTGACACACATGCACACAGCACACCTCCTAGCTCCAAGGTCAACACCTGCAGCATGCACACACCGTAGTGTCCAAATACACATTGACTTGTAGATGGTCTGTCCGGTGGACAGCCATCAGAAGGTGCCCAGTGGCCTGGGCTCCTCTGTGCTGAGGACCTAAATTGGGAGGGTGGCCTGTGGCTGCAGGTTCTCTGCAGGCTGTGCAGCTCACCTGATGGCTGTAACAGGGACTCTGAGGGGTGTGTGGAGAGTGACCTTCCTCTTAACTTTAGAAAGGCTTGCACTGCTTCCTAGCTTTTTGGTTGAGACAGCTGCTACTAATTAATGCCTAACCACAGAGCATCGCACCCTCCCAATGAGCACCGATTCATGACAAAAGTCAAGCCTAGTTATAGCAGGTAACTATGATAAAAAAGAAAACCAACTGGCGCTGGGTACTTGGTCTCCTTAGAACAAATAATCTGGTACTCAGCATTTGCTCAGTTCCCACATACCAGCTGCCAACTCTGATAAGGAAAAAGAGCACCCCTTGCTGGCCTAGGCAGCCCATAGGTACTAGAAGGAACAAAACATGACCTCCTTTAAAAAGTGTGACTTTTTAAAGTCTCTGCCTCACATGTGCCCACCCTGCCACTGCTTTGTGTGGGAAAGTGCAACTGCCATAGGGCTGTATGATCTCAGGAGGGTCACTGACCTTATCTCTATCTCGAGTTACCATCAGCAGATGACTGTAGAAGCTACCCTATCTACCATCCATGCTGCCATGAGGATGAAGTGAGGGGACACAGAGGAAGAGTGCTACAGGAAAGCACATCTGGACACAGGTACTGTTTCTGCACTGCTTTCAACAGGATCACGTCAGTGTCACACGCTAATTGTCACTCTGTTTTACCCTAAGCAGTTGACGTCACCTAGAGGCCCCTTAACAGTACCTGCTGAGGAACTCTATGAACTGGCAACTCTGTGTGTGTGTGTGTGTGTGTGTGTGTGTGTGTGTGTGTGTGTGTGAGAGAGAGAGAGAGAGAGAGAGAGAGAGAGAGAGAATATTGTGTGAGGACTTCTCAGGAGGGTGGCATGTGCCCATTTTTCTAGGGTTACCAGGAAATTTCTCACAACAATCACTACACTGAAATTCTAATAAAATATTTTCATAGCTCCCTCACTATGTTATTAAAAGAGTTGATCTATATTACACATAATTACTCACCCAGAAAGAGCCAACTCTCAGTTATGCACTGAAATGAAGGAATAACAAAGTAAATCATCCAAACTGACACAAATCCCCAAACCTCTATCAGTTGGCTTTGGAATGTATTTTGGTACTTTTGCACCGAATGAAAGAAGTGTCAGGTATACGGAAATTTTCAAATCTTCCAAAGTAATCATGAAGCTACACTTTGAGGATTTTATCTCATATTCATATTCCCTCCTTTCAGAGTTACTCTCAGACAGATCAAAGCCTCAGCCTAAAAAAAAGCTACAAGAAGGGAAACTACTTTTAATTTTTAGCTTTGTGTTCCAAGGATGTGAGGTGAGTCTGTATGTAATGTCGGTGGGGAGGGGACTATAGAGACAAAGAACTGTTGTGGCTTTTAAGATCTCTGCCTTTGACTTCCTATTGTGTGGCACAGAGGAATTACGAAAACGCGATTAGCGATAATGTTAAAGAATGTATTGCAGAGAGCTGAGAACAAGAACTTGTGCAAAGATTGGCCTGAGGATAAGCACCAGGAAGGCCAGCAGGGGCAACTGAGGACTGACTCCATCCACCTGCCTTCAGTGCACAAACAGCAGGCAAGTCTGCAGGGGACGGGATACGTGGTAAGTTGAGGGAAGGAGAAGATAATGGATACATGGGCAGGGGAAAGGCTGGCTGAGGTGTGTCTGAAGCTGGGTGAGAGTGTGGATGACAGAGGGAAGGCAATCCTCAAGCTGGTCAAAGGGAACCCACAGTCAGCAGAATCTCGTGCACCTTCAAGAAAGTAGTATACACAGAGTCATTTACTGGGTCTTGGGGTTCCCTGGTTTTAAGGTATGCTTTTCATGACTGAAAATCTTTAGGACACCATGAGAAGTTAATTCAGATCCCCGTCTGGGGTTCTGGGTAGGCCTCAGAGGAAGCTGGAGCCCTGGAATAGCCCTGTTCATCACGGGAACAGGAGAAACTGCACCAGGCTGCAGTGGGAGGCCTGGCCCAGGTGTGGAACAGTGGCTCCAACACTTGACAGCAGAAAGACAGGAGACAGGAGAGAGAGAAAGGCCCAGACCAGAGACACTTCAGGACATGGGCTGTCTACAGTGAGAAAAAGGGCTGCATGGCAGTGGGAGCTACGGAGTGATCTTGAAGATCTGACAAGATTCAGGGAGTGTGTGGGTCACACTACACAGGACTAAGCTGGAGGAAGGGTCCGGGAGGATTTCCAGGGCTGAGATGGACAGCCTGCCATGGTTGTATTTTCTTAGCAACTCCCCACTCATGTCCCATCTATGCTGTTAGACTCTGACACAGTCAGTACTAACCAAATGATTATGAATTAATTGTTCAGTGAAAACCACATTGACAATCAGGAAAAACTGGGAGAATCTGATTGAATTAGTAGTGTTTTTGGTTGATATTGCAAATAAATAAATATACTCCAATTAAATAAAGCAGTACATGATGTAATAAAACTGACTTAAACTAATGAATTTTAAAATAATACAAATATAGTAGGACTTTTAAAAGCATATACATAAATCATGTATGTTTCAGAAAGGTTGTGGTTACACAAACTTGTAATTTTACATTTCATCAGTCCTATGGAATTGACAGACACCACACACTTCTCTCTCTACCAGACGATGGACTTACTGATTAGCTGAAGCTCTTTTCTCTAGGATCCAAACGCTGAGAGGAGAGAAGTTTAGATGTGGAAGGGACCTTAAAAATCAGTTGTCCAGCTCTCTTATTTTATAAACAAGGAAACTGAAGCCCAAATAAGTTGACAGTATTTATCTTTTAATAATAATCTTTATCACTGATTTGAAACTGTTTGACTTCTATAAATAGTATTGCACATATTTTAATAAGATATGTCATTTTTATAGACCATCTAACAGTTAAGTTATATAATCTATGATTGTAATTCCGAACCAGAGTTTCTACTGAAACCTAAGAATCTGCTTTTGCACAACCTGAAGGATTTGTTGTATAAGATTTCTAGAAAAAAATGGTGAGTATGTTTAATTAGAACTTCAGAATGAAAACTTATAGAATCTGGGTCTTACAGAACCAAATCCTCTGTAAAATTCAACAATCTTCTTATATTTCCTTATATAAGTTTTCTTAAAATATTTCTAATATGATGCTTTTTAAAGTATCTAGTGGTATCTGAGAACATTTATAGAAGTTGCAAAGCCTAAAAAATGAAATCATTAATTAAATATTTATTATATACCTTCTTTGTATAATTTATAGATAATCAATGTTTCAAGATCTGAATCATGAATATTCTGACAATCCTTTCTAGATAGTGACTTGAGATTTATTCTTAATAAATTAAGAAGAAGAAGAAAAGCTGATAAGTTTGAAAATATGCACTGCAGGAATCAGATGTGGTAACTAAAAATAAGTCACTTCACATAACACTGTACCCTGATGAAATATCCACCCATGGGAAATTAACAGCACATCAATGTAATATATCCTGAATAAATAATGACATCAACAGTAGCCACTTGGTCTAATCCTACCCCTAAGTGTCAAGCATTTTGTCATATTACTACATGACTTTCCAGTGTCTTCTACTTGTGCAGGTGAATCCATAGATATTTGCATATAATCCAGTTAAAAGTGTGATTTGATTGAATTGTAAACAGTTGATAAAAGAGCTTATTGTTGAAGTGCCTAATAAGAGTATCACTTACATTTTAAGAAGATAATATGTAGCAGCAATTTAAAATGCTCAGTAAGCTACAGTAAATGGACATCTATGCTATATAGCAAACCAACATTCACTTAATGTCTCTATAGCATAGTGACACAAATAAGGAAGTTACTTGACCAATTACTTTACATATTGCCAGTTTATTTCTTGATCCAGTTTGACAATGTCAACACAATTGATTCCTAAACTGATATGATATGTACTCAAGGGTGATTTTTCTTTCAATTCTGTTTAGCACAGAGGAGGTTCTTTCTTGGTGCCTTCCTAACAACAGCTCGTATATGGAATTTATGTTTTTTATATCACTTAAATGCAGTGTTAAGGATTTAAAATAAATGCTGGCAGCTGAAGACACATTTTCCTCCTCCTCTCCTTCCTCTCTCCCTCCCTTCCTTCCATCATTCACCTGCATGAACACTCAGGGTACCTAACTGATCAAGGATGAGTGTTGCTGTAAAGATAACACACAACACAGAGGAGCCTATCTTTCTTTCCAAGGTGATGAAAGCACTCAAGGGAGATTTCCAGTTACTAACCTCTTGTTCTGGAGATAATCAGTACTTTCTCTTTAAAAATGTATTTTCAGTAGCTCACTGGAAATAAATTGTTCTTATTTCAGGCAAGAAACGTATTGTCAATGTTTGCCTGGACATCACTTTCAGACCCGTGAAATGAATCCCAGGCCCAAGCTGGCTGGAATCTGGATGGTTTCTAGTGCGAGGGAGGATGGGTTAAAAGGAAAGGTGACAGGAAAGATGTGTTTAGCATCCATGAGCAGCTGAGGAGAGTCTTTCCTGTCTCGTAAACGCATCTGAGAAGATTAAGAAAAAAGAAAATAAACAGAGAGTCAGTTTTTTGAATCTAAAAGACTTTTTCTGCCAAAATTTACACCAAAAAATTCTCAGCTAATGAAGAATGTTTATCTTTCTTTTAAAAATCACTTCATTTTCCCAATAAACAGTTATCAAAATAGTAAAATAAAATAATATAATAAAGGATAAAAACACATTATCCTTCAATCAATTGTAAATTTTCCATTGAAAAGACTGTTGTTGAATCAAAGAAAAAGAAAAGATAGGAGCTCTTACCTGTATAGTACGAATAAATGATACAGAGACTCTTTCTTCAAACTCATTAACTGGAGTATACAAATTCAGCACTTTGACAATCTGTGAGAAATGAAATGATCAAAGCTTTTGGCCTATTATCAAATACACACCTACAACCTGGAAAATTAACAGGATCTGTGCATATAGTTTTCAGTTCTACTCAGGGGTGGGTTGGGACAAGAGGGAAGAAGGAGCTGATCTGAAGGGCATGTTTACCTTTGTTATTCGAATTTTACAAGAATGTATTAATGTAATATTTGTATAATATTTTAAGAAGCCATATAAATTTAGAAAAACATTCAAACAGTGCAAAATAATAAAACATAAAAAATAAGAGTGCCCCACTCCCATGCTCCCAGTTTCCCAAAGTGGCAATTGTTAACCATGTCCTGAGTATCCATCTAGCTACTTTCTATACATAGTTTAGCTTATGTTATTCTTATACAAATGGGGTTCATTCTATTAATACTATTCTGCAACTTGCTCTCTTAATATACAAATACATATCTAGACATATTAAAAATAATAGAATTATATATTTTTGAACGATTTTTCAAAAAAATTATATTTTTATGAAAGATAAGTTACTATAAATAACATAAATAACAACAAAAACCTCTAAAGAAATTAACCAATTAATGAGAGGGTATGAAGTTCTTTAAACAAAAGTCAAATTAATTTATTTTGTAAAATGGTCATGTCTCTTTTCTAATGAAAATAAATCATTATCTATAGAAGGCAGAAAAATATTTCCATTTTCAAGGTATTGTCTAAAGCTGTGTGGTCCAATACATTAGTAGTCTAATACAATAGTAGTCACTATCCAAATATGACTATTTAAATTTAAATTTAAATAAAATAAAAATAAAAATTGAATGCAGGACACTGCTGGTCTACAGGCAAAGAACAAATTAAGCATCAGAGAGATGTGAATTAGAAAGTGGGCATGTTTCCCAGGTCTGTGAGTGACAAAGTGAATCAGGGGATTCACCTCAGAGGCAAGTATTAGAACTTTGAAAAGTAGGACCACTTTGTTAAATAAAATTTGCTAAATAAATAAACTATAGGTCTACCTCACTCTATGAAATTAGTGCTTAGAGTGTATTAAAGCGTTGAAGTATATTCTTTTAAAAGTTGGACGACAGCAAACTCTTCTATAAACTCAGGCTTCCCCCATATATCCTTACGCTCCACATGTGGCAAAAATAGGGGGGAAATCTCAAGATCGTTATTCAGTAGTGTGGTTCTGCTTTATTCTTAGCAAGAATTTATGTAAATAGGAGTTCAGCATTAAGAAGCTGCAAATTTTGTTTCCAATTATCTACTTATTGAGTTTTAATTGTATTGGACAGAACTGAAGATGTCTATGTTATGAAATATGTGATAAACAGTAAGAAAGTCTAAGAGTCAGCACAGAAAATACCTGGGCAGAAGAAAAATGGGCATGTGTGAGACTGTGCCTTGAATCATGCTGTTGCCACTGTTCTCAAATGCCCTTCCCATCCTCTCACTTCCTTAAATTCAATGCCCAGCTTAATGGGACCATTCCTGAACACAGTCAGTTATCACCCCTCAGTATTTCCTTTAGACCTCTTACTGTAGAATTTATTAGAACCTCTATGGTAGAGTCAGCTGGGTACATCTCTGCCTTCTCTACTAAACTGTAAGCTCCTTGAAGGCTGGGGGAGATACTTCAATAAAGTGACAAGTATGGTGCCTTGAGATGGGAGCTCAATTAGTCATTTGTTTAATTGAAGAAACAAGAATTATCTGTCTTAAACAAAAGAAGTCTAAAAAATCATTCAATTATCAAATAATATAGAAAATTATTTTATGGAATATAAGCTCCATAGAACGTATATCCCACGAGAGCAGGGACTTTGTTTTGTTTATGGTTGTATCCCAGTGCCTGTAACATTATGTAGAACACTGTAGGCATTCAATAAATATTTGCTGAATATTAAATATAGACTCACACTAAAAAGTATTAATTTCTGGTAAAATCTCCTTTAAGATCTGGACAGACATATATGTTCTCTGACATAGATGAAGTCAGCTCAGAGACACAGCAATAACTAGAAGACTTCTTTACTTCCCTAAAGATCATCTTAGATGAATATTAAATTATTTCATAATAGGGAAAGTTGCTTTACCTGGGCAGTAGTTAAAGCATTGCACATGCAACAAATAGCTTCTGCATCATCATCTGTCTTCTTTTTCACTTGCAAAAGCTGAGCAGCCTGAATGAGAGGTTCCAGGGTTTCTTTAGCTCCACTGTTCATCAGATTCTTGTCACGTAGCCATTCTTCCAGTTGACTGACATTATACCTATGCCAAAAAAAAAAAAAAAAAAAAAGAGAGAGAGAAAGAGAGAGAGGGAGAATGAAAGACAGAATGAAAATTTGCTGTATGTTGTCATAAATGTTTTAATCGTGTGTGTCCTTGTCAGGATTTTCTGTTAAAATGACAGGCACTATTTTTATTCAATTTTCTTAAATCTCATCAGCTGTACTTAAAAATTTATCACTATAAATAGTCATGAGGTTTATAATCATAATTATATAAGATTAAATGACAAGAGAATATAATTCTCTTTAATGGAAGATAGAAATGGAGGCGTAACAGCAAAGTTGTAAGACTTGCTAATTAATAAAATAGAATATATAATATGGCTCTGTCCTTATTGGTGAGCTGACCAGAAAACACTTTCTAGCCTCTCTTACAATTTCAGAGATGGGTCCCTTTTGTGGGGTGAGACCTGATAATCCTCAAAGCACTCTCTCCCTTAAAGCTAACTCCAAATTAGGTAACTGAATAACCAGATCCTCCACGTGTGCCTCGTGCTCAAGCCTCTTCAGGGAACTGCCTGGGAGATGAAGGCAGTGGCCTGAGGGAGCTCAGAGATGGAAGGAGAGAGGGGCAAGAGAGGGTCCTTGGAAGAGACAAAGACTTCAAATAGGCAGAAAGACAAAGAAACTACAAAGATTCTGAGGTTTCATGAGGTGGCCAACCAAGTGACGGTGGTTCTCAAACTAAGACTGAGGTAAATGGACCCCAATCAGAACTTAGTCATCAGGCAAACAGAAGCCATTTTAATATTACAATGGCTGTCTTCACATGTATAAGCAAAGCTTATGGATGATAAATTCCACTACCTGAGTGGACAGCATTATCTTCTTAAAGTTAACTATGATTAGATATGGGTCAGAATGCAAAATCTGAAAAGAACACTAAGGTTTTCTGAGATTGAGTAACTAAAGACTTTTGTAGTAGAAATCCTTTCCCTGCTCCTGGTGAATATTTCAGTTGTTATAAAATAAATATTTGCAAAAAAAAAAAAATCAATTCTATTACAATAATGAGGTCATGGTGAGGAGTAGTCAGGCATAAAATTAAGAACAGATTTTCTTAAAATACAGAGGGGCTTTGTTTCAAGTGTTAGTAAAAGATCAAGCAAATCAAGCAATGTGGAGAACCTGTTGGTAAGGCACAGACGTGGAACAATAATGAAGGAGAGCTGGAGAAATCTAGCCAGGCAAGAGAAAGTGGCTCCATGCCAGTTCCTCCCCTGCCGCTTGGCCGCATGGCACCAGACATCAGGTGCACTGACTGCAAACAAGTCATCAGCTCTCCACAACCTGGCAGGCCAGCTGGGCAGCAAAAAGAAGCTGTCACAGGTGTTAGCATTTGCTCACCTGATCTGCATGCCTTTACTCCAGGAGCACATGTCCTTCCGCAGGAGGAGGTTGTTCAGCGTGATAGCCCCCACGATGTAGAACATCTGCTTGACCACCTGCTTGATCAGTTCTGGGTCCATGCCGTGCTGACACATGACTGAGTGGAAGGAATTGAGCTGCCGCAGAATGGAATCCAGTGTGTAGGTGCCCTCGTCAGCAATACTGGAGGTGCGCTTTCTTAGCCCTGTGGGCTTCACCCCGGACACGCCCTGAATTGTTTCATGCTCCAGCATGCCTGAGACTGCAGGAGTATTTCAATTGTTAGAGAAGATTTGGAAGAAAGCCTGTTTCATGTGCATACATACATTCAACTTAGCAAAATGATCTGAATATCAAAATGGAAGGAAAAGGACTTCACCAAAAAAAGGGCTTCTGGATTTTAAACTTTAATGAAGGAATAATTCTTAAATGCAAAAACTTTCCATGAAATTAAGTAATCTTAATGGCATATTTTCTAACATAAGAAGCAGTATCCTTGCGATGACATACGTGTATGGTGTCTTGGGTGGGTTTTTGAGAGAGGCAGGTAGTGGTTAGGGTTAAGTTAAGCTTTCTCCATGATATGTCAGCCCCAGAGGTAAAATAGTAAAAAAGACAGGATACTGAATAGTCTGGAAGAAGACTGGGAGAGGGTATTACAATGGGGCTGGAGAGCTCGGCCCTTCCCTAAACTGGGCTTCCCACAATAGCAGTGAGACTTGGGCTAACCTCAGTCTCCAGGACTTGGTCTTCTCATCTGTGGCACTGCTGCTCCCCCTACTGTGCTCTCATAGCATTTAGCTTATGCCTCCCCTAGAATGTTTTTGAGATGTCCACTCCCTGACTGGGAGCCCCTTGAGAGCAAAGGCCATGTCCTTGTGCTAAACACAGAACCTCACACTGAAAATCGTTGTTGTCATTGCTGTTAAGTGACTGGAAGATGCAGTCCCCATCAAATTACTAAAGTCATACTTCACAGATTTAGAAAAAATAATTCTATGCTTTGTTTGGAAGCAGAAAAGAGCCTGAATAGCTAAAGAAATCTTAAGCAAAAAGAACAATTCTGGAGGCATCCCATTAACAGACTTCAAACTATACTGCAAGGCTATATAGTAACCAAAACAGCATGGTATTGGTACAAAAATAGAGACATAGACCAATGGAACAGAACAGAGAACCCAGATATAAAACCATCTATCTACAACCAACTAATATTTGACAAAGCAGACAACAATGTACACTGGGGAAAAGAAGCCATATTCAATAAATGGTGCTGGGAAAACTGGATAGCCACGTGGAGAAGAATGCAACAAGATCCCTACCTCTCATCACTCACAAAAATTAATTCAAGATGGATAAAAGACTTAGATCTAAGGCACGAAACCATAAGAATTCTACAAGAAAATGTAGGAAAAACTCTTCCAGATAATTGGCCTAGGCAAAGAATTTATGACTTAGACCCCAATGGCAATCATGGCAACAACAAAAATTAATAAATGGGATTTGATCAAACTAAAAAGCTTCTGCACAGCTAAGGAAACAGTAGAGCAAACAGACAACCTACAGAATGGGAGAAAATATTTACGAGCTACACATCTGATAAAGGGCTAATAACCAGAATTTACAAAGAACTCAAGCAAATCAGCAAGAAAAAAACAAACAACTCTATTAAAAAGTAGACAAAAGACATGAACAGAAGCTTCGCAAAAGAAGAAAGACAAATTGGCCAATAAACATGAAAAAATGCTCAAAGTCACTAATCATCAGGGAAATGCAAATTAAAACCACAATGAGATATCACCTTACCCCAGTTAGAATGGCTTTTATTAAAAAATCCAAAAACAATAGATGCTGGCATGAATGAAGACAAAAAGGAATGCTTATACAACATTGGTGGGACTGCAAATCAGTGCAACCTCTATGGAAAATAGTATGGAGATTCCTCAAAGAACTAAAAGTAGACCTACCATTCAATCTGGCTATCCCACTATGGGGTATTTACCCAAAGGAAAAGATGACTTTTCATCAAAAAGACACCTGCACCCCTCTAATGTTTATTACAGCAAAATTCACAATTGCAAAGATGTGGAATCAACCCAACTGCCCATCAATTCATGAGTGGATTAATAAAATGTGGTATATGTATACCATGGAGTACTACTCAGCCATAAAAAGATGAATTAATACCTTTTGCAACAATCTGGATGGAAGTGGAAACCATTCTCCTAAGTGAAGTATCTCAAGAATGGAAAAACAAACACCGTATGTACTCACTATTAAATTGGAACTAACTGATGAGCACACAAGTGCACAGAAGGAAGTAAAACTCAGTAGAAACCAAATGTGCCAGGAGAGGGAAAAACCAACCTAATGGGTACATAAACACTATTTGGGTGACACGCACACTTATAGCTGGGGCTCAAACATTACAAAAATGAAAATGATCCGTGTAACCTAAAACATTTGTAACCCCTTAATATTTTTTGCCCCCCCTTTAATATTTTGAAATTAAAAAAATAACATCTGGGTATACAGAATGAGTGCACACATATAGAAAGATATATGAAATCACACATATAGCTGAATACATGTAAATAGAAACACACCATACCCCTCAGCTGCCTAGCCAATGAGAAACTATTACTTTAAACCAAATTGCCTTTAACAATTCCATAGGGGCCATGAGATGTACAATTCACATGGAATGCCTGAGACAAACCTGTAAGACCTGTCTTTGTTGCCACACTACCTTCAAGGTTAACTCACTGCAGCCTGTTAGACAAAGTGCAAACCCTCCCAAGCCTCCTCGGTTTTAGCTGGGCCTCTAGGAAGCCCTATGTAGGAATGTCATAGTGCAAAGTTTAAAGTGTTTCTGAAAACTAGACAAGGTATGAGGTCTACTGCTGGGTATAAAGCATAACCCAATCTTAAGACAGAGGGCACTAAACCCTGGGGAGGGAGCCGGATACTGCTGTTTCAATCATGTCAAAGCAGTGATTTTGATGCATCCTTTAGCTATGTCTGGGTTTCTGGAATTCCTTAGCTAATTTTAGGCCTGTATCTTACTACATTATGAATACATGCATATGAATTCATGTATTTATATGAATACATATGAATACATGCTCCAAAACATGTTACTGGTGGTCATTTATGGATGGGCACGTGATCTGCAGGCTGCCATGTTCAGCAGTGCCTGGCCTTACCGATCATTGGCTGAAGGATGTTCTCTAACACCCGCACGAGCTGTTGGTAGATCTGAATGGCCAAGTCACTCAGCACCTGCCGATACTCAGCCAGGTCAAAATTGGTGAGGCAGTGTTCATTCTGGCGAGAGGTATTGTGCTTCATAAAGCCCTGGAGTCATAAGGCAAAGTTAATGAAATATGTGGAGTAAAGTGTTTCTTTTGTCTGTTTAACTGTCTCCTGTTTGATCAGCATCTTGATGCTTTCTGTTCCTCTCTCCACAGTTTCATCCATCCCACATAAAAATGCCAGGATAATCATTCTCCAATGCTGCTGTGTGTGTGTTTGCTTCCATCATAACCCCCTTCCACTTCTTACTAGCTTTTGAATAATAGCTAAACTTGGCAGTCTAGCATTTAAGTCTTTCCAATAGCAATGTCAATGAAAAAAGTTGGGAGAACTTAAAAAAAATGAATGAGTGTTTTACTTGTGAAACAGCAAGTTTACCACCAAACACTAAATTATCTAAGGTACTAATCTCTCAACTTCACTTCATTAAACGTACTCTTATACATAAGTACTACACCCAAAGGGGATACAAAATCTTCTTGAAATAGACCAATTTTTATAGACACTGCCTCCCTACAACCTAATTAATGACATGGTCTAAGAGTGGGGACTGACAGTACATGCTTAATGACCCATCTGGGGTATTCCGGTCCAACAGTCCCACCTTCTCAGGGACCATGTCCTGCTCATCTTTGTATTTTCCATCATTTGCCAGGACAGTCCTCTGCCTCTGGGTACTCAGAAAGTGCTACTGATCAGCTTCTCTGCTGCTCTCCTGGCAAAGGCTGGGGAGGTATGGAGGGCAGTGGGTTAGGGCCATAGGCCCTCAGAAGTGCTCAGACCTAGAATCCCAGCTGTGCTCCTTATGGCTGAGAGGACTTGGGCAAATCAATGAGCCTCACTGAGCTTCAGTTTCCTCATCTGTAAAACTGGCTTATAATTTCTACTTCACAGGGATGTTGTAAGAATTAAATAACATAAATACCATCGTTTATAGTATGTGCTGTCTGATATATACTCAGCAGACCTTAATAAATAGTAATTATTAATATTTTACATAGTTTTAAAATATGTTAAAGTTTATCAAACAACTAATGAACACATCCTTACAAACAAAAGCAATATAGATTTTTGGACAAATCGAAAGAGACATGATCTCTGATCCTGTGTTATCTTGGATCATCTTTAATGTACTGTGGCAGGCCCAAATTGATTAATTTCTTTAAATAATTCAATATTCTGATACTGGTTCTTGAAAAGCTCACTTCAACATATTGATAAGATGTTTCATTTCTGGCAACTATTCATTGACTGATGCTTGCTTTATTTTTCTATGCTTTCTCATAATATAAACTCTCAGAGGAAGGAAACTACGTCATTCTCCAATTTACTGTTTCATAGATAATGATCAAACAAGCAATGAAGTTCCAAGCCACCTCTGAATTTGGGTTTCTAAATTAACAAAGGGTCAAACGTTTAGTGCTTTTAAAATTTTTCTTAAAAAGGTCAGAGAAAGTATAGCGTGCTGGTTTTGTAATCAAGGTTTTCTCACCTCTTCTCCGCTGTACTGCTTCAAACAGTGCAAAAACCGGCATGTGTTAGAGAGCCAGAAGGAGACGGTTTCAAAATCATCACCTCTTTTCTGAAAGAGAGAATAAGTCTAAATTTACCTTTTTCTTAGGGAAATAACAACCTGAAAAAAACTGAACAGATACCAAAAGGCCCATTTCTTTCAGTTACCATTATAAACAATTATAAAAATAAATCACATTGCAGTTGTAAAGTCTTACATTATTGCTAGCAGAATTTCAGCCACTGGGTTCATTGGCTGGTTGTTACTTTGCTTGGTATCCATTTTCTTGCCATTAGAAAATGAAGCTGATGTTAACTTAGCTGTCCCCCCTTTAAACAGAAAAAATTCAACAAGCCACAGCTGACCCAAACTTACTTCCCTTGGGGTTAATGAAGGGAATCAGAAAGAACTAAAAGCACAAAAGGGAATAACTAGTATTGTAATAAGGAATATGAAAAAGAGTTTGAAGCACTTAAACCCAGATTAGATTAAAAATCTTGTCAATGGTGAGATAAGATTTCTGAGCAGTGACTCAGAGATGGGATGGAGGGAGTCCTGCACTAAGCAGTACAGTCAGGGACAATTTGGTTGGCTCTTTACCAGGACTGGGCCACAGTGGCAGGGAGAAGACAGAGACTCACTGTGCCTGAAAGGACACTGGGGCTCAGAATGTTTCCCAGGGCCTGAATGGTAGACATACTTGGGAAGATATGAATTTGTAACCTAAACCATTTGTATGAACTAATCCCAGTTTGGAAATAGGAAGTCACAGAAATATCAATGTTTGCCTATACCTTCTTGTAGAAAACCTTGCATAGGAAAACTTAAAATAGTTTACCTGGGACAGGTGCCTAGCATTAAATGACCTTAGAAACTCATTTTTTTTTTGCATGATATCAAATATTCCAATAACTCTACTACTATATCACAACAAAACCTGGGTTCTTAGAAGCTGTATGAGAACAACTGCCTTGGTTCCTTGGTAGTGACTTTATGTAGCAAGTGTACTAGCAGGATAAATCATGAGGAAAGATAGATTTCTCCTAAGATCATTTTTTTTACATAAATAAAATTTAACTCTTTAAGCAAGTACAAAACAAACTAAAGCCCTTAAATTTTGGAAAATATTTTCGTAAAAAGACTTCAGGAAAAAAATCCTGGCTGGGCACAGTGGCTCACTCCTGTAATCCTACCACTCTGGTAGGCCAAGGCAGGAGGATCACTTGAGGTCAGCAGTTCAAGACCAGCTTGAGCAAGAGCAAGACCCCATCTCTAACAGAAAAATTAGCCAGGTGTGGTGGTACACACCTGTAGTCCCAGGTACTCAGGAGCCTGAGACAGCAGGATTGCTTAAGACCAGGAGTTTGAGGTTGCAGTGAGCTGTGATGAGGCCACTGCACTCTAGCCTGGGCAACGGAGTGAGACTCTATCTCAAAAAAAAAAAAAAAAAAAAAATCCTTGAGGATATCAGACCTAACTTAGTCTTTTTAGATGAGACAGAATAACTGAGTTCAGGGCCGGGCACGGTGGCTCACGCCTGTAATCCTAGCTCTCTGGGAGGCCGAGGTGGGCGGATTGTTTGAGCTCAGGAGTTCAAAACCAGCCTGAGCAAGAGCGAGATCCCATCTCTACTAAAATTAGAAAGAAATTAATTGGACAACTAAAAATATATAGAAAAAATTAGCCGGGCATGGTGGCGCATGCCTGTAGTCCCAGCTACTCGGGAGGCTGAGGCAGGAGGATCGCTTGAGCCCAGGAGTTTGAGGTTGCTGTGAGCTAGGATGACGCCACGGCACTCTAGCCCGGGCAACACAGTGAGACTGTGTCTCAAAAAAAAGAAAAAATAACTGAGTTCAGGTCCTGACTTTATTACTATTAAAGACTTAGCTATAAAGTCTTCCAGATTTAGGAGGATTGCCAGAAAGTAAATAAAATTTTATGATACTCTCAAACACAGAAAATCATCCTGTGGCTTAAGTGCAGATTTGACTAAAAATAACTTTACCCCTTCCAAAAGTCTGGATTACAATTGCTCCTAGTGGAGGCTCTGGGCTGAGCTGACAAATACAGATTGGGAGACAATGCTAGCTACCGGCCAGCTTGTGGCAATTTCAGAAATTCCATGCCTTAGTAACCACTGGAGAATGTAATTACGTAGAATATCTGCACAATGGGGACTGACTGAGAACCAGCATTTGTCAAAAGTTCACAACCAAGGGCTGAGAGAGGGAGGAATGGGGAGTTAGTATAATGGGTAGAGTTTCAGTTGTGGAGGATAAAAAAGTTATGGAGATGGATGGTGGTGATTGTTTTACAACAATGTAAATATACTTAATGCCACATAACTGTACACTTAAAAATGGTTAAAATGGTAAATTTTGTTATGGATGCTTTACCACAATTTAAAAAGAAAGTTTATGAAAGACATCTTAGATTTGAGAGAGTCCACTAGGTATGGTAACTATCCACTTAACTTCATTCTAAAAGTTCCCATTAAGTTCAATAATCAGAAAGCAAAGTACCTACAGCACACTATCTTCGCTCCCCACAGAAACACTTGAGTTAAAATAAGTATGATGTTCATTGCTTCTGTAGAGTCAAGAGGAGGATTATGCAAGTGACTCAGTGATTACTGAGTTATGTGGGGCTTTCTGCTTGGTTATATAATTTTGCTGTCTTTTCTAAGTCTTTCTTTTCTGATTAGCATCTGTGTGTGTTGCTTCTCACATGGAACCAGGCATTTTAGGTAACTGGGAAAATTATGGGGCGAGTTGGAGAACAAAGGGAAGAAAAGTTGGAAGAAAAATTTTCATGTTTTATCAGACATCTTTTTATATGAATGAATTCAAGTATTACTGAACTTACTTAACATCTATTTTAACTTTGGCATCATGTTCCCTATTTATATTGAATATTTTAAATTTAGTTCCAAGTAAACTTCAAAGCAAACTATTTCTGTCAATGAAGAAACTTAATTTACTACACAATTAAATACAATTATATCAAGTTAATTTTGATTACTGATCAACCTGAGCCCTGTTCTGAAAGAAGGCATATAGACATGTTCAAGAAGGAATGTTTCCTCCAGTGGAAGTTTTCACTTAAGGCTGGAAAGTGTTCATAACAAGCAACTTCTTAAAAAATAAAATAAGATAAAAATAATAATTAAAAAACCCCAAGCAACTTAGCTAAAGTCAAAGGAAGGAAAAGCACCTCTGTGCAGATTCTGTCATCATCAACATTTATTATGAGAATTTTGCTGAACATGAACTGACCTTCAATACTTTTTTGATGCTGTTAATTGTTGATGTCAGCAATGACCTTACTTTCTGATCATCATTCAGGTAGTCAGCATGTCGAACACACATAAACAGGATATACGCTGGTAATCCTGGAATCAAATTGACTGCTACACCACGTGGCTTCAGTTCTGAAAAAAGGAAAAATAATCTTACATAACGTTGAAAGTCTTCATGAGGCATGCTTTATGAGATATAAAAGCACAGTGTCATGTAAGAGTTCAATCATTCAAGGTAAGTCGGTCATATAAACAAAGGTATTTTAATAGCTCATTAAGTAGAAAAATTCTTGAGTGTGGGGACATGTGTATATAATGACAACTCCCAAATTTATATCTACTGCCCTGACTTTTCCCTTGAACTCTAGTCTCTTGTATCAACTGCCTTCTTGACATTTCTGCTCAGGCACATCGAACCGAGCCTCTCCCAAATCAAACTCTTGCTTCCCTATGGAACCTGTTCTTTTGGAAGTGTTCTGCATTTCAGTAATCAGCAGCTCCAGTCTTCCAGTTTCTTACGTTATAAACACCATCTTTCTCTTTGACTCATTCCTTCTTCTCACACCACATACCCAATCCATCAGCAAATCTCCTTGGCTCTACCTATAAAATACAACCCAAATCCAACGACTTCTTCCTGCCTGTACTAGCTGTGGCCCTGTCGAGGCCAGCATCATCTCCTGGATTGCTGCAACAGCTCCCTAACTGGCCTCCCTAAGTTATCCCCTGCTCCCCAGTAGTGCATTTTCCACACGCAAGTCATTCTTTAAGAAAAGGTATGTCAGATCATGTCACTCTTGTTCTGAGAATCCTCCAAGCAGCTTATTTCACTTATTTATAAAATCTGAAATCCTTACCATAGTCCATGCGATCTGGCCCTGTTCTCCTTCCCCAGCCCCAGCTCACTCTGCTTGTCAAATGGGCCTCCTTGCTGTCGGCTGAATGTGGTAGGCATGCTCCCACCCCACTTACTGTTTTTCTGCCGCAAATGTTCTTTCTTCAGACATCAGTGCGATGTTCAAAGACCACCTAACCAAGCCCTGGCAATTTTATATAAACCAGTATACCTGCCTTCACTCTTTAGTCTTTTTACTCCATTATATATTATTTTATTTTATTTTCTCTATTTCTCCTCTGGAATGTAAGCTCTATGAGAATGGGTACTTTGCTTTGTTCATTATCAGTACCTAGAAAATGCTTGGCACATAGTAGGATTCAGTAAATATTTGTTGAATTGATGCATCTTTAACTCTATGCTTAAAAACCAGTGGCTCTTTAACATTTTTGCAAAATGAAGATCACATTGAAATTGAAGCACCTCTGCGCCTATATATAGTACCAAATTAATGCTAGGAACATTAAATCAGGTGTAATTGCCAGTCACATTGCTGTCACTCTGGTACTTGGGGGGAGGAATGCTATGCAAAGGCTGAAAGGAGAGGTGTTTAAGTTTTTTAATTCACAACTTAAACAGCGTGTGCACTCTCTAGTCATTTACCACCACTCCCTGAAAAGTCTTCTTGCAGAGCCAGTGGGCTCACATCCAATCTGAAAGGCCTTATGCTGCTCTGAAATGTTTCTTCCACTCCCATCTCATTTGTTCTGTCCTGTCCTTCCTTTGCTAGAATCTTTCCCTTAATTATTTTATTTCTTCTGTATTATTGAACTATTGTCCTCAACATATTTAGTTGTAAACCTTTCTAGGGAACTAAGGAAAAACAGAAACTCAGGAACCTAAACAGCCTAGAGCAGTAGTGTTCAACTGTGGCTGTATTTGAGAATCCCTTGAGAGGTTTACAAAAAAGTACTAGACATTGTCAAGCTCTTTTCCCTGGAGATTTTTATTTAATTGGTATGGTGTTTGTGTGTGGGGGGTATACATCAGTACTTTTCAAAACTTTCCCAGGTTATTCTAATGCGCAGCCATGGCTGAGAAGGCCTGGCCTCAAGGGATCCTTAGGTGGGTCCTAGACACATGTCCCTGCAGTTTGACTGATAAGACATGGTATGGTCAGGACACTAGTGCAGCACTGTAATCCACAGTATGTAAGGACGACTAAAGAAACTTTGATGTTGAATATTTCAAAAATTAGTGACTAGTTTTTCCAACCATTGACACATGTACCAGAAAGGCCTTTTATCCCATGCAAAAAATACTTGCCCAGAATCAGGTTCTTAACAAGTTTTTGCTCATCTTCCTTCTTGTATTCCAGCATTCCTTGGAAATCCTTTTCTTTTCTGGGAATGTTGACTGGACGGATAGGTTCATCAATGATCTGTCCTGGGGATATGTTCTCCATCTGGCCCACTTCATGAGAAGCAAAAAGGGAGAATAAAATGTTTTCCAGATAGAAAAGATGAGAGGGTTCCATGTTCATATAATTTTGAATGAACTCTGTAAAAACAGAAACTTGCCATATTTGCCACTTAATTGTTCCCTCTTAAAATATTTTTTCTGCTAAAATTGAGTGGCTAGATGGCAAAATTATATGGTAATGTTATTCTGACAGCCACTAGAGCCTCACTACAGTTAATATCAAATAAATTTACCTGATTCAAAACCTTTTAATTTTTTTTTTGTAATAAGGTTTACTTTCTAATGATGTTAAATGTCCCAAAAGTAAGTGGTTTAACATATTTGTTAACAAATTGACACCAATCAGAAATGGTTAAACATATTTAGACTTTAACTCACAGGAAGAAAAAACATTATTCTACAAAGGGGCAGCAAGATTATAAAAGATTCCTTCCCCTTTAGCCCTATGAATCTGGTCATTTGAAAGCAAAAGAACATTTACTTTAAATGTATCATTACAATCAGTTCAAACCACATCAAGATATCTGGTAGAATAGTGTTTCTTCATACCAACTGATGTGAAAATGTATGATTTTTCACAAAGGCTTCGTAAGGCAAAGATCTAACTTTCTCCTGCCACCCCTCATTCTCAGAGAAATTGTGAGTAGATAAAACGCCACCATATAACGATTCCCTAAATGTTATTGCTTTTTGTTTCTTTTTAATAGAATGCTAAAAATTCTACCATGAAGTTGTGACCATTAAAGTTCAACCACCGCTGTTTAACAACACTTTCAGATGTTAAAAATGGCCCCTATTGTCAATGACAGCAGCTAGATGAGAATTATGCTAAAGGTAAAAAAAAAAAAAAAACTCTCCAATTTCATCTCAAAATTGAGAACTGAATGGGAAACACAAGGAAAGGAAAGGGAACATATGAGTTATTATGGGTGACTGTGGAGATACACGCCAGTAAGCAGGTTTCTTATCTTTTTATCCTTAGGAAGGGGGAGCAGTTAAGAAATCTATTTAAGTGCACATTAAGTTTGAATTCCAAGACTACTGTCAAACCAAATGCAGATTAGATGCAAAAACATTAGCAAGTTTAATGCTGCTGACTCCAAGAGGTAAAAGTAGTGCTTTTTGTGTCATTCTGGGCAATTTCCTGGGTTAGTTCTGAGAAGCCAGTTCCACAGGAAGAGGTTATCACAGAGAACATCAATACTTGCCAGTGCTCTTGCTTATGTGGCATGGAACCTGGTGACACACCGTCCACCCCATGCTGCAGCGTCACACACTGGGACTATCAGCGCTGAAAATTTGGTTTAGGTAAAGTCACCACCATCCAGCAACACTATGATATCTAAAGAGTGGTCAGATTGCAATTGGACAGATACCATAATCTAGTGTTTCATATGCATGATTGTAGTCTGAAACCATAGGACTAGTTATAAAATGTATTCTTCTGTACAAGAGAAGAGGACACTCAAACTGTTCAGTTTTACATAAATTATTTCTGGATTCAATTTAAACACAATACCATGAGCACCTCTAAAGTAGCACATAGTGGCCTCTACAGCTTGTGAACCTGCTGCTGTGTATAAAAAACCAAAATAACAAATTCCTGCCATCTATGTTACTAGTAACTTTAAGCCACAGAGATAATTCCAGAAGGGTAGATTGGGAGGAAACAAGTTCAAGATGTTGGGTTTATCAATAAATATATTTGGTGCAACCTCTGTGGAAAAGAATTTGGAGATACCTCAGAGAGCTAAAAATAGAAATACCATTCGATCCAGCAATAGCACTACTAGGCATCTACCCAAAAGAGCACAAAACATGCTACGATAAAGACATCTGCACCCGAATGTTTATGGCAGCACAATTCACTACTGCAAGAATGTGGAAACAACCCAAGTGCCTGTCAATCCATGAGTGGATTATTAAAATTTGGTATATGTTTACAATGGAATATTACTCAATTATAAGAAACGACAGTGATCTAGCACCTCTTATACTTTCCTGGATTAAACTTAAGCCCATTATCCAAAGTGGGGCACCAAAAGAGCAGAAGAACGGGATCCATTTGTACTCACCTTCAAATTGGTACTAACTGATCAACACTAGGTTGATCACATGGCAGAAATACTCTCTAGGGATTAGGGGGATGGGGGGGCAAATCTACAACTAAAGGACACAGGGAGCACTAAAGGGAGGGAAGGGCATGCCTTTAACCCGCATTTGGGTGAGGCAAAGACATAAAGTGTAACTATAATGTTTGTACCCTCACAAAACCCTGGATAGATAGATAGATAGATACATACATACATACATACATACATACATAAATAAAAAAATAAATAAATAAATAAATAAGGGCTCCATGTAACCCAGGGAGGATGTTTTAAACCTACTGATTTGATCAAATCTAAGATGCCATTGATTATGAGTTATACCATTTTATATAACACTAAAAGAGAAAAAACACTGCCAATTTAACTATAACCCATCAACAATTATAAGACACATTCCAATTTCAGAGAAGTTAGAATGTAAAACATTATGCACCTCTAGGCACACCTCTAGGCTGTTTAGGTGCATAATGTTTCATAGAATTTATAAAATATGGTGAGTATTTTTACTAAGAGAGTTTATGTTTTAAAAGAAAGCTTCTCTTTCCTTTTGCAAAATCTCTAACCAGGATATTTTTGGTTCTTTATAAAAATGTCAGACAAAATCTGCCATACTCTCATTATAAGTTTTTCCTTCTGCCTTTGAATTCTCCCTAGGGTCTTAGTCTTCACAAAGGCTCACAAATGAAATACAGATGTCAGTTCAACATAACCTTGATTTATTTAGCAATATTATCTACTAATTAAAATAACATGTCAACCTTTATGTAGCATCAGGAAAATACAGTGCTGCAAGAGATAAGCCAGGACACCACCCCAGTTTTCAACCACTCAAGAGACCTTGGCAGTTGCTATAGCTGAATGTCTGTGTCCCTTCCAAAATTCATGCTGAAACTTAATCCCCAATGCAACAGCATTAAGAAGTGGGGCCTTCAGGAGGTGATTAGGTCCTGAGGGCTCTGTTCTCATGGATGGAATTAGATCTTACAAATGGGGCTAGAGGGAACTTAGTTAGGCCTTTTGCCCTTCTGCCTTCTGCCTTGTGAGGACACAGCCTTTGTCCCCTCCAGAGGATACAACAACAAGGAGTGCCACTGTGGAAACAGAGACTGTGCCCTCTAAATGTGCTGGAGCCTTGATCTTTGCCCTTCCATCTTCTAGAACTGTGAGAAATAAATTTCTGTTCTCTATAAATTACTGAGGCTCAGGTATTTTGTTTAGCAGCACAAATGGACTGAGACAGTGGTCATTTAGTCCAGAGCTCTATCTAATATAGACACCCTTCTAGAAAGACCTGAAGCAAGAATCTATTTTCATTTTCTAGATTCTTTTTCTTTTTTTTTTTTTTTGAGACAGAGTCTCACTCTCTTGCCTAGGCTAGACTGCCGTGGCATCAGCCTAGCTCACAGCAACCTCAAACTCCTGGGCTCAAGCGATTCTCCTGCCTCAACCTTCTGAGTAGCTGGGACTACAGGCACCACCATGCCCGGCTAATTTTTTTTTTCTATTTTTAGTAGAGATGGGGGTCTCACTCTTGCTCAGGCTGGTCTTGAACTCCTGAGCTCAAGCAATCCTCCCACCTCGGCCTCCCAGAGTGCTAGGATTACAGGCGTGAGCCACCATACCCAACCAATTTTCTAGATTCTTTATAAACTTGAGGGGAAAATATTCCTGAACCTTTTATCCTGGAAAAGGAAAGGAAATTGGAAGGTTTTTAAAAAATTTACTTTTCCTCACTTTGGCACCAGGAAGATCTTGATCTCAGGTTTAATTGAGACAGATAAATTCATATTAAGTAGAGAAATTCCATGAGAAAATATGACACAGAGAAAAAAAGAGAGAAATCAGTGGCCCTCAGAAGGCTTGGGTTTTAATCCTGCCATCTGACTTGCTGAGACGTTGGGTAAATCACTTATAATTTTCAAGCCTTAGTTTTTTCTCCTATGAAATAATTAACTGATTTCTAGAATCCCTTCAGGTCTAAATTTCTTGATTCTATAAAAATTGAGATGGAACACTCACTCCTGGAATAAAATATAACATGAAGCAGATCAAATTTTGAAACACTCTCCATTTAGCTACATAATTTCTGCTAAAAATGATATATGTTGGCATTTTTTTAAAAAAAGTCTTTGTTTGCTTCTAAAACAGTCTCCTTAATTAAATGTAGCCCACAGGAGGAGGCAAGAGTCATGCTATTTTAAACCAAAAGGATTTAAGTATGTTGCAATATATTTAAAGAAAAATATAAGAAAACTTTTAGTTATTATAAGGTGCTTTGTTGTGCAAAGTTGCCAGTATTTTCTGTATAACAGGGAGATACAGGGATGAAGAGAATAGTGTTAAAAGAGCTTGTCACCTTTATTCCCTAATTTAGGGGAGAAGCAAGGCACTCAGCAAGTACCCAAGTCACATAAATCTATTTCATTTTATCCTCTACCTATGTATCACTCAACTCAAAATATCACTTTTCTTAAGAACTAGTATATCTTTTTTGTTTAATCAGTAAATCGTTACTGATTAAAAATATACATATATTAAAAATATACATATCAAAGAAAGCTAATTTAAAAATATAAAATCATGAATGTTTTTTCTATTTATCAAAATTTACTAAAGTATGGCAAAGGAACCATTAGGAATTTAACAAATAAACAATCTCACAAGTTAATACCCTTAAAATCAGTTTCTTTCAAGAAAATACTCTGCTGTCTGATTATCATCTCATGATATAATGAGTGCAGAGTTAGGTACAGAAAGTTCTTTGAATAAAGATTTTCAAGTTCTACCAATAGACATTATAGCCCATGTGGGAGTGTGTGATTTGGAGGTTCAAAAGTTTTAATGTAATATATAAATCATGTAATGCTAAAAGATTATATATAAAATATGATTACAAAGTAATCTTTCTGATTTCTAAACAAATATTTCAGTATTTTATATCTAAGGGACTAATATCCTGTTGACAGTAAATATCCATGTTGTCATGTTCTAAATATTTCTGAAACTTATTTATTCACTCAATAAACATGGAATAATTATGATAGGTCAGACAGTATACTAGGTGCTGTGAAAACAAGAGGAAATGAGAGGTGGTTCCTATGCTTAGGAAGCTCATAGTCTATTATGGAAGACAGTAATTCAAACAGAAAAATTGCTAAAAATATGACACAGTGAAAACCACAAAAGATTTGAGCCAAGTTGTGGTGCACAGAGGGCAGAGCCATATGGTCTGTCTGTGTGATCAGGCAAAGCCGCTCTTGAGCATGTAACATATGACTCTGGTCTCAAAGGATGAGCAGAACTCGCCCAGGAGAAGCAGGAAGGCCAAACAGAAGGTATATAGTTATGGCAGGGCCTGGCATGTTGAGGGATGAAAACCACATTTAGAGTCAATCATAATAGAGCCCTTTGAACATCCCCAGTGATGGGGGGAATCTTTACCCTTTGAGCCAAGCAAGAATTATGCAAAGTGACACTGAGAGAATAAGATGGGTAGTCAGGCTGAGCAGTATCATTTTTAGGCAAAATGATAACAGTTCTCAGAGGTTTGAAGGCAATTCCATAGAGTGTCTCCACAATCTCTTGAGCAGGGAGAGAGTTGTTGGAATGAGCTTAGAATTTGGCTTTAGTCCAAATTCTTGTATAAGAATTCAAGATCAGATTCATTTGTATGTAATAATAACTGATATTTGATCGTTTCTCAAGGAATTTTCCTATCATATAGAAATGAGGTTTTTGAAAAAATCTTATTATCAAAATTCATATTTTTTCTTCCTTACCTCTCTTTTTTTTCTGTTAGACTGTGAGTTCTTTGAGGACACAGACTCCGTTTTACTCATCTTAGCATCCCTAATACTAAAAATAACAGCAATACTAATAACTAAGTTGTATGTAGTGTTTACTATGTATCAGGAACTACTCTAAGTGTATTACACACATTAACTCATTCAATCCTTATAAACCATCTCAGGTAGATACCATTATCATTCCCATTTAACAGGTGGAAAAACTGAAGCATAGAGAGTTTCAGTAACTCGTCCAATACCATATGATTAATAAGTAGGAGAGCTAGGATTTGAACCCAAGAAACATGACACCAGAATCCATGCTCTTAACCTCTATGCTATACTGCCTAGCACAGTGCCTGGTATATATTAATAGAAAATATCTATTACATGCTTGCTGAATAAATTCTCTCCCTTTGTATTATTATTATTATCATGAAAATAACATTTTTCCTCATCTAGGGAAATGGAAATTTCCGCTCCACAGAGGTCGAGTGTGCTGAAAGTCATTTTTGTTATTATCCCCAATATTTGCATGTAAACCTCTATTAGGCCACTCATATAGCAAGACAAAACCAAGATTCAGTAACTGGCATAAAAACATGTTTAAATACCTTCTAGTTCACCAATTTTTTTGGCAAATACTTTCAGTTGTTTTTTCAGTTTCCGGACAGTCTTATCTTGTTTTTCAAGTTGTTCCATTAGATCCTGAAGATCAAAATGAGAAATAACAGAAAGATCAAAATAGGCCTTTTAAAATGCACTCAGGGAAAGCAGACACAAAATCACAGAAACGACACTGTTAGTTTTACATAAAGCTCCAGAAAAGCTCGTTGGTGGAGCCACCACTTGGCTAAAACTGGCAGGCATGGAAAATGCAGCTACAATAAAAGCCAAATGTTAAAATATAAAATGCGGTAAAATCCTTTACAGCGTGATGGATAGCAGGCTCACTGTGGAGTCTTTTCTATTAGACTCCATGTAGGAAAAACAACTGCATGCTTGTTAAATGTCTTGTTATTCCAGTGGAATGCTTTCTTTTAAAGGGGGACTAGACAAAATAAATTTTGATGAATACACAGAAAGTTCTGCAGGAAGATTTAAGAATGGTTGAACTTTGGTAGGGACTGACACTCCATGTGTGTGAAGCAGTGTCTCTATGAGACCCACCCTTCTGGTGATGCTAAAATTAGCCCTGAAACTCAAGAAAAGTTTAGAAGTTTTGGGAATTAAAAGGTAAGCTAAAAAAATAATCTTAGAGAACAGGATAAAGAGTGGTCTGCTGACCTAGGTAGGACCAAATCAAACATGTGGGTGGCATAAGACACCTACAAAATCTTGCAGGTGATATAATTTTGCTTATATAGAAGAAAGGAAGCTGGGCAAGGTGGCTCACACCTGTAATCCCAGGTTCTTTAGAGGAACGCTTGAGCCCAGGAGTTCAAGGTTAGAGTGAGCTATGATTGTGCCACTGCACTCCAGCAGCCTGGGCAACAGAGTGAGACCTCGTCCCTAAAAGAAAAAAAAGAAAAAAAGAAAAGAAAGGAAAGGAAAGGGAAAAAAAGGGGGTAATTATGAATGTTTCATGTAAAAAGAGAAAACAAAAGCAGTACAATTAAGGGAGAGGGTATAAAAAAGTTTGAGATTGTTGGCTCTCTAGTTAATAAAGAATTCTCTGAAATGACAGGCGTAGTTAAAAATTGAATAATTAAGAAGAAAGTGGACAACAGAAGGCTCAAAAAGAGCTTAGAAGGAAAATGAGTCAGTGAAGTGTGTGGTTGTTATTCAGGTTATGGAGAAGAAAAGCATTACAGATACAAATATTTATTCATTCTCCAGTTTAGACAAGAGTGGATTTAGATACTAGGCCAATGACTCAAAGAGAATAGTTGTTAACATTTCAAAGTGTTAAGTTGTGCATCTTGGATTTTACTTGATCTTTCAAGTCACATTTTGCTTCCATCACACTGTAGCCTAGTGTTAATAACAAATCAAACATGACAATGGACGCAGCAGGACACTGACAGAGGTGACACCACTGGCTAAAAGACAGCTGTGGGGAGAAACAGGTTTTGTGACAGTTTTTGAAGAGACTTCCTGGGAAGGGGCAGGCAGCAGTGTGCTCTTCAGTTACAGAGGGCTAAAAGTAGCAAGGAAGACAAAGGAAAAGCACTATGGTTTTACATACAATCATCCGTTTGTAAAGTGAAATCCGATATGACTGATACTTCTTAGGGTCATCTGCATATAATTCCTCAAAATACTGAAAAAACAGGCACAATAGATATTTGTTTTTCTCTGTGTCTCTGAAGGCAATGCTACCTCTCAGCAAAATCAATTTTAAAATATTTTACCACACAAACAGTGAAAGTGAATACACTCAAAAGCTCTGATTTGTCACCTGCCATTACCCTTTTATCTTTCTAGTATAGATGATTCTGATTACATATACACAGACATTTCTTTCGTGATTAAAGGAAACAGGCTGTGGCCAAGACGCCATCATTTAGCAGGTAAACACACTGCCCAGATAAGGCTGGCACTTCACTCAAGCCTCTTTCCTGCCTTTTGCTCCTAGCCTCCCCCGTACATGATGCTCACCAATTGCTGCACCTTTTTTTGCTGCCAGCAGCAGTGGAAGAGTAGGGAAGGCAAATAAAATGAAAGTGAGAATAATGGCAGTGTTAGCACTCTTGTATGAAGTTGGAGAGGCTGTGTGCCTTTCTTCCCTGAAAGGCAGCATGGGGGAGGCCTGTGAAACCTGTTCACTAGAAGAGGGAGAAAAATCATTTTTGTGTTTGTGTTGAGGGGTAGGTGGGTGGGAGGATGTTATGTGAGGTGGAGTTTCTAAGAACACTAAGTTCAGGTCCACTGCTGCTTTAACATTCTGCTCAAGTGTATCCTAAAGAAATGCACAATGAAGACTGAGAAACAATGATTTTGAAAAAATACATCATTTGCTATACTTAAGTTTGTATCCATCCTCCTGAATTAGTAGTCAATGTAATGGCAGGAGAAGCAGCTGATCTACAAAGTGTTTTCCCAAAACTCAAACTCATTAACTAGACTCTACCAGTTTAGAATGTGGGGTTTAGCCTATTTTTGTATTAGCTATGAAGAATCGCCAAGAAAACTAATACTGCAAACAAAGTTGCAAGGGAAATACTTGACCAATTTAGTGAAAAAACTCCGGAAATCTGCCACCCAGAAGCATCTTTATTTCACGGTTTCACCTTGTATTTTAAGGCAATCATTTATAAGCAAAGAATTTGTATGCTGATCAATCAATTGTTATTATTCAGTACATTTATTAATACTTAGTCATCAAAGCATTGTTAGTTTAATTAAAGGAACAATATACTTGAGAGTAATGAAATGACATTTCAAAATTATTTTATGATTCAGAAGATTTTCCCAACAAATTAGTGAGATTTCAGTCACTCTGGAAAGAATCCGAACACTTTCCTCACTCTCTTCCCCCATTCCCATGATGGAGCCTCATGCAGAGAGGCAGACTAGAAATGAATACCTTTGGGTTTTGTTTCTAATTCATGTAAAAGATGGTTGAATAAATGACACTAAAAAAACTATTTGTAACATAAAATAATGTAATGGAAGAATGATTCAGATTGTTAAATCTTCAGGGAAAATGCTAACTATTTTATTATAGGTCACTGAAAACCTTAATTTAAAAAAAAAGACACAAATCACCACCAGTCCTAAACAATTTTTCTGAAAATCAGGCAGGCACTACAATATAGATTTTATACAAAAACCTAGAATTATAAATTTTCAATGATTTTTAATATAATAAATATTTGTGAAACTTAAATAGATTTTAAAAATTGTAAATCTGTAAGAAAAATTATTATGTGACTGAATAAGAAATATTTTAGAAAACATTTTTGGTAAAAAAATAAAAGAAACAAGGAAAAAGGCAAAGAAAAAACTTGAACTCCATGCCAGGGCTCAGAATCTGGCAAGGCAAAAAAAAAAAAAAAAAAGGCTTCTCATTTATTGTACAAGATCCGTTCGAAAGAATAGAAAATATGTTAATCTGACTCCTAACTCCCCATCCTCCTGACCCGGGAGCTCCATCCAGCATCACTCAAAAGCCCTAGCTCAGTTCTGCCAACCACCTTCCCTGACCTAGACTCTCTTAACCCCCACCTGTCTGCTAGAGATGGAAGCTAAGAGGACTCAGTGGCTTCTTGGTAAACAAAGGTAAACAAAGCCTGTCCCCAGCCTCTGTTGTGACAATAACATAACAAACCTTCTAGAATGTGCAGCAGAGGAAGCAGACCACCCAAGCCTTCAGGCTATCACAACCCAGCGTGCAGTCAGTGGCCATCTTCCAGACTCTCGATGTCAGGTCTAAGAATGCTCAGACGCTCAAGAGCCTTCTGTGAGGAACACAGCCTGTGCACATGCCTTTTTCATGTCTACCAATACATTATATTTTCCTTACTCTGTCTCTGCTGGAGTAAGAGGGTAATAAGTGCAGGGCAGTACGTTTTTCCCAGCAAAAAAAAGCTATGTTTGATCAAAAAGAAACTAGGACATCAGGCAACACTAGGTGTTGTTTGCTAAGGAGTGTGTGGGCCGGGGCACCTCTTCTTACCAAGTTTTCGTTGGTCAGCCGGGTGATTTCATGCTGCAGGCTGGCCTCGATGCGAGCCTCCGGGGGCAGCTGCAGGTTCTGGGCCAGCAGTTGCTGCTGCCGATTGTTCTCCTCCTTCAGGCTCTGGATCTCCCCACGGAGGGCCTCGGCCTCGTTCTCGTGGCTCCTCTTCTGTGACTGGAGCTGGGATTCCAGGAGCCTGTGGAGAAGCCACACAAGTAGGAAGGGGAGATGACACTCCCAGGCCCTGCCTAATGGGTACAAGGCTTTGTGCTTGCTTGTAAGAGTGAGAAAAGCAGATACTCTTTAGAATCCGTGTGTCTTCTGACTGGATGAAAGTCAAGAAACTCAAACAATAGCCAGAAATGGAAACAAATGCTCTCACATTCGTGTTTTTCTGAATCATATAAAGATCTCAGAGGCCCTAAGAAACAGGAGAGTTTTAGCTTTTTTAAAAGGTTCATAGGAAATGATGACTAAAAAAAAAAAAAAAATCAATTAAAAGATACAGCTTTAATTTGACTTACATTTACAAACTAGCATTTAACTTGGCAAAGACAGTTACACCATTGCCACATAAAATAACTGCACTATAAAAGGCAAGATTACAAACTCTCAATCTAATTAAATGTGCCTTTAAGAATTACAGAGTTATTATTACTAATTTCAGGGACAGGGTGGGACCACAGTCTCATTTTTATATTTCACTCATCTCTCTGAAGGACAGAGAGGTTAGGTCACTACTCTGAAATATACCCAAAATCTGAATTACCCAATCTACACAGATAGTTCTGAAATTTCATACATATATTTTAAATTTGTCATCTCTCTCTCCATAAACTTACATATCAGTAACAGAATCCTAACAAGACATGGTTTTAGAACATAAATAACAATAGGAGCAACAAAGTAGTTATTGCTTCTGAAAGCGAACACATAGCAGCTGTGCCCACAGAGCAGACCAGGGCGTTGGCAGTGAGCACACAGAGTCAGCATCCTCCCTTTACCGTGCACCCCTGCTTCTACATTCACTCCTTTTCCAAACGCAAAACAAAGTTACGGTTAAGAACTAACTAACCTGAAGTAGAAAAGACATTCTTTTATTCTAATCCCACTGGTTGCCAACTGCTGGGTAAAACTTTGCCATTGCAAGCAAACTGTTAACAGCAGACTAAAAACATTTTAGTGATTACAAAATTTCAAAAGGATTTGAACTGATAACACCCCAAAGTTAATGACAATGGTTTATGATTAGAGCAAAACAGGATAAGCAGAAGACCCCTGAACAAATATATTAAGTGTTTTTAAAATTTAATCATTAAAAGGAATTTTTATGAGATTTTTAAGAAACAAATATTGCTAGAGCAGATGAATATCTGTGTAAGAAAGGTGTTGCTGTTTCAATTTTATTTTCTTTTCCCTAAACATATTTAACGTGTTGCGTTTGGGTAATTATTCTGAACTGCAGCAATGCAGGAAACCCTCCTGATTTTCTGTCTCACAAATTTGAATTTCACAATAACCACATAGAGTGCCAAATCATGCATTTAATATTGCTTTTAGATAGCATGATAATAATATAGTCACACTGAATGTAGTCACATTGCTACATAGACTGTATGTTGATCTTTATTCCAAAGAAGAAGCTGCTAAGTAATACATTTTAATCTCTCCCCCAATAGTTTGTGCTTTAGTTGAAAGATTTTGTTTTTCTTTCAACTCCTAGAGAGAGATATTCACAAGTTTTAGTCTGATGCTACTCTAGATAGCATCACTCACTTACGGAAAGCAACTCTTATATTTAGCATGAATCAGTTTTAGCTGTAATAGCATCTCTTAGTGGAGAAGGTTTTTTAAGGTGTTTGGCTGAATGTTCTAAGTTTTACTGAAACTAATTTACCCAGAAAGACAATTAATGCACCAGAAATATAGGCGTTAAAGTCAGGAGGCCACTGTTAGTAAGAAAAGCCACAAATTAATAACATTCCATTTTGAGGAGATAAACATAACCTGTTGGCTTGTTTTAACCCTTCATAAACCAGCCACAGCTCTCCATCCTCATTCAACTCACGGCAATCCATGGCAGGTGATCTTCCATGCAAAGGAGTAACAATGCAAAACACAAAGGGACACGGGGTGGTAATGAGGTGATGATGGTCAAGAACAGCACAGAGTATTGCAATATTTTATAAGGGAAGGCTTTTTATTGATTACAGGTGACTTTATGACATTACCACAAAAATATTTTTTGCTTAATTAAAAAAAAATGAGTAACGTAACATCACATGTAAATGGGTAAAAATGAAAGCAAAATAATTAAGGATCTAGAGCTACTTTTTCTGCAAAATAAGAAATGACTGAAGGTGAGAAAGAGGTTCTATTTTAAACAATTTATTCACCTAGTAGAGTGCCCTATCATGTATTATATTAGAGGCTACCCACGACACAGACAGAATGAAAACTTCAGCTACTGTCTTTGTGTGGCAATCTTTACAATCTCTTTTAAAATGAAGTTTTAAGTCTTCTGGGTAGGAACTTGTTTTAGCTTAATAAAATCTGATTTCCCAGCTAAAAATTTATTTTAAAAATTCTTATAGGAGTAACATAAATAAGAACATGTCCAAAGTTCTCAACTTTTATAACATGAATTTTAAAAGGTATTTTATGTGCAAAATTAATTTTAAGACATTAAAACTGCTTTTAGAGATGCATCATATTTTATTAAAAATATGTATAATTAATAATTATGGTAAAGTTGATAATAATTTTTTTCTACCTATGGTATAAAAATAATATGTTTTGAGTGTTTGCTAAGTGCCGGATGCTGTTCTACATCCCTTCACATGCATTATTTCATTTAGTTCTTCTAGTAACCCAGGGTAAATCATTTGCCACATTGCAGAGGAAGACACAGAGGCTTAGAAGTAAGATACCTGTAGAGGTTACACAGCTGGTAAGTATTGTTGTTGTTACGTTTACGCAACACAAATTTGAGAGAATTCTCTTCTGTTTTCCATCTAGGGAGTTTATCTCTCCCTAGTGTTCATCTATTTGCATGGTTTCAATTGTATTATTATTCTCTGATGACTTCAAAATTTACATCTCAGCTCACATATCTCTCCTGGCTACAGATCTATATATTCAACTGCCTAATGGACTTCTTTCCTTGGTTTTCTCCCTGGCTCCTTAAATTTGATATGCATAAATCCACTGATCATCCTCCCCACACCCCAATCCCACAATCACAAGATGGTATCACCACATCCAACCAAGTGTCCCTAGTAGAAATCTCGGAGTCACCATTCAGGATTTCCTACCCCTCACACACACATCCAATAAACCACAAGGCTCGCTGACCTCTAATGTATATTTCAAAGTGTCCCATTTCTCTCAATCCTAACCACCACCAACCAAGCCCAAGTCACCATAATCAGCCACTGGATTATGGTAATAGCCTCTGAATTTGGTCTTTATGCTTTCAATCTTGTTCCACTGCAATCTATTCTCTAACATAACAGCCAGAGCTAGGTTTCTAAAATTCAAATCTCATCACATCATTGTCCTACCTAAAACCTTTCAATGGATCCCATTATCTTTGGAATAAAGCCCAAACCCTCTTAGCTGTCTCCCTAGCAGCCGATTAGGATTTGCGTTTATCATGCTTACTGCTGTATTCCCAGTGTGTGGCACAGGGCCTGGCATGAAGTAGGCATGTGATACATATCTGGTAATTGAACATCTGAGTGGATGGATGAACACATACATACATCTACATACATCCTCTTGTACACTTTAATTCATCTCTAGATTACTCACAATACCTAATACAATGTAAATGTTATGTAAATATTTGTTATAATGTATCATTTAAGGAATAATGATAAGAAAAAGGTCTGTACATGTTCAGTACAGACACAATTTTTAAAAAATATTTTCAATTCTCAGTTGGTTGAATCCACAAATGGGGACCCCAAGGGTATGGAGGGCCAATTGTACCTTACTTTTTGCATAGCACTATGCTTTAGTTTGTATTTATGTATACCAATTCCGATTCCATGCATTGAGAAATCTAGACTGAATACTAATAATACATATCTTCAGAATTATCTTTCTCTGTGATCATTGCTGCCTATGTTCTTTCAAAATGGTCTAGCGTATAATCTTTTAAGTTTGGAGTTCAACAACACTAAGCCTCTGTTGGCGGGGAGGGTGGCAGTAAGGCTGCGGGGGATTCCAGGTATGAGCCTTCATTCTCCCATCCTGGAAGTCACGGTACACTTTTAGAGTTACATGGCCAACTCTGACGTGATTCCAGATAACTCATCACTTCTCTTCATACTAAGTTTCAATTCTTGAAAGCTTCAGTTGCCCTACAAACCTTCATAAATAACTACCCTGAATAACACATGAGAGGGACTACCTAAGACTGTCCAAACTGTGTAACTGGTTTTCTTCTTAAGGCAGCCCATCAAGGCTAAGACTATAAACATAGAAAAATATCTTCTCTCAATGTAAGAACATTTTCCCTGACACTTTCATCAATAATATTACCTTATATTAAAGTGAGATTTTAGCTGGGAATACATTGGAAACCTTGGATTGCCTTTGAAGGCCAGCTGACGTCTAATAAAGCAATGCATAAACACGGTGACTGACTGTATAAGAGGCTGGCCCGAAGGCTAAAGATCAATATAATTAAACCAAAATAAATAAAAGAATGATCAACTTACCTATTTGTTTCCTTCAAACCAATGTATGCTTGTGCTATTTCACCTTTATCTTTCATTTTTTGTACATCTTCCAAAAGTATTGTAGAATCTGTCATTGTATTCTAAAGGGGGAAATGACACATTTCCACATTAAGATTCAACTCAAAAGCTTTGGACCACATATAATATATTTCTTTCCTACAATTAGAGGGAAGTTATGTGCTTCATCACACCTGTGCCCCACCTGAGCATCAGTCCTTGCTCCTTGTAACTACAGAGGAGAGTTTGGCCCAGGCAATTCAGAGAAAAGGGTAGCTTGAGTTTCTCTCCTGAGAATCCCTAACACTCTACTACAAAGGTGTTGAGATTCTAGAGTACCACTGCCCTGTGAATAAAATCACTGATGGGTGATGTATGTTTTACATTATGTGAAAAAAAATACATGTACATATATATAGTATAAGTATATGATATATAACATAGTATACATAGCATTAGAAAAGTAACCAGGCAACTATTTAATGGAAAACATATAAGGCCATTTTTTCTATCACTTCCAGACCAGTTAGAATGAAATAAATGCCCCTATAAAACACTGAAAGTTTGACATAAAGCTCATTTTCCATTAAAAACTCAGTATAAACAAGGTGGTGTTCAGATGATATATACTTCAGCAAAATTAAGTTTTTTTCTCACATCTTTAGATATATGTAAATAGGAAGGATTTAGTTCCTTTTAAGTATCTACCATCTGCTGTTATTCAAATCTTTTTTTCCTCTGGTACAACAAAGCATGGCACATAAGCTTTTGAAATAAACATCTGGCAGGTCAGAATTACTAATGATTTTACATAAAAATAAATTTTTTGCCAAGATTTTTATTTTTTTTTAAATTTTCCCCTTTTGGTCTAATCTTCCTGATAACCAATGTAATTTCAAAATCTACTCAGTTATTCTCTCTCTCTCTAGAACAGGGTAAGAGATAAGAGTCACTGCTCTATAGCTTCTGAAGAATAATATACATTAGAACCCAAAAGCCTGTTCTATTTGTCTAAATAGTATATGTCTGACCCTTTAGTCAACATTTGCTCTGAAGTCAGGTCTCACAATGAAGTGGACTTAATTGACTACACTTCAAATATTATGATCTTAGAGACCAGTTCCAAAGTAACTTTAATGCCAACATTAAAGTTCTAAAAGGGTTGCACCATGTAGGAAAATCCCAGTAATATCTGTCACTCAATAGCTGAAATAAGATGTGGTGGAGAAATTTGACTTTGCAACCTCATTAGGAGCCACTTTTCATCCTAGCTATGGACTCTACATTCAGGGAGATGAAAGTGGCAGCAAAGAATGGTGTGCTCAGCTCCTCAGGCTGCCCCTCCCCCTTAGCCAACAAATCCACAGCTGGCTAAAAATGAGAGCTCAGGAGTGCCTGTACTTTTGAGTGTACTGCAAGTAAAGGGCTTCCCTCTCCAGCTTGTGGATAGCCTACCATAACCACTGCAGTGAATCACAGAGCTGACTATGAATTAGAAGTCATGGAGTGTCCTTTATAATCTAGACATGAACCTACTATCACCATTGTTACCCCACTGACTTCCCAAATAGGAAGGAATCAAATGGGAAATTAATTTGTAAATATAAAAATAGACTTGGTGACAGGAAAGCATCAATTGCAAATATGGGGAGATACTTGTAAACTAAAGTTAGGATTAAATGTAAGTATTTACTAAAAATTGAAAAAAACCTTGAAATTACCTTGTCATCCTGAAAAATCACAAGTCAGCAAGCACAAAAAATAGAGAAAACAATAAACCCTTAGTTCCATAAATAAATTCCATCAATTAGTCTCCATGGTAACAGATAAAAGCTAACTTTAAAATAGCCATGAGTTGTTTCTCCAAAAACTAACTCTGTAAATAAATTAACACACCTGGAACTGGCATAAAGTGGACATTAATATATATTTATGTGATGGCAACTCTTATTTCCAGGCAAGTGCTTGAAATTCTTTTTGAGTTGTTTTGTTTTTATTTGGTTGTAAAATATTTTTGAGCATGTGAGAGAATGACCCTTCTGTTAGTGTATGTGGATAAAAGTCTTATCTCCTAGGTCTGTGAGAGTTAAAATAATGTCCCACTACGAGGTCATCTGTCCAAGGGAAGTCTCCCAGGATACTCTGGAGGTGGAGCCAATAAACTACACCTGGCTGGGCTGGATCATCCCCTAGCTCAAAAAGTGTTGCTCACCACTGCCCAGCACATGAGTTGTGAAATGATATGTCTCTGACTTGAAACTGAGCAGACAAATAGCCCAGGGGTGTCTGGAAGACCTTAATTAGTGTCATGGGCATTTTGCTAGGAGAGAACATGACTGCTGCCTGGATTAGGCTGGAAGCTGAGCGAGCATGGACCTCAGTTAGACAGGGCCAGCCCATTGGGGGCAGAAGAGCAGTTGTCACATGGGGTATGTGAGCTGGGTAAGTGAGAGTATATGATACCACGACTATGTGCTCTATTAGCTAGATTGTTTTTATGTCCCTTGATTCATTTTTCTTTCCGTTTCTCTTAATTTTCACTAAAGTTTCTTGTGAGAATACTACATTGTACCCCATAAATATATACCATTATTATTTGTCAATTAAAATTAAAAAAAAAAAGAGTACCAGTTTATCACCAGGTAACCAGAGAAAGGAATCTTGATTCTGGACTGCTCAAGCTAGCATGCAGAGCCTCGTTTTCAGAGGCCCAGCCACAGTGGTAGCCACGGGGACCAACTGAGACAGCCCCAGGGGAAGGTGAGACCTACACAGCCAAGCCAAAATGGAGAGTCCTCTTCTCATTTCAGACTTAAGGGCTTTGCGATTTGCTTCAAAATAAGGACGCCCATTTCTTTACATTATTGTACTTGTTACTGGGATTTTTTCCTCCAAAAATTATTTAGTCAGTATCTTGTTTTTAGAATTTGATATTTTTTGGATCAGTATTGATTCTAGGTGTGAGCTGCCTTTATCAAATCCAAATGTATGTGCCAGGTATAACATCTAAACCGCAGGCAGAAATTTTCTAAGAGAAGTACTCTCAGATTTTTCAGGCATTCAGCTCATTATATATCATAGACATTTTTTATATGACATGTCACTTGATTGCCTCACTTCTTGGTGACACTCTGCTGCATACACATGGGCAGCGACACAGGGCAGATTTTCATGATGATCATTCAGATTCCCTCTGATGGCAAATGACATTTCTCATCAGCATATGGCAGCACTAGGTCTCAAATCACCTCAAGGCAAGGAAGGACTTCAAAGGGGCATCGATATCCGCAGTGTGGGGGTTCTTTCTGTTGAATCCCTGAACACAGCCCCTCCCATCTGTGACAGCTCCCCCTATTAAACACAACTGCCTGAAGTGAACAGAAATCATCTCTATGTAACTGCCACTCACTGATCTCATGTCTAACCTCTGCATGTGTTACCTTTCCAATTAAACAAGCTATTTTCAGCAAATAATTTTAAAGTTGTATCTAATGCCTCCCCACAACAAGACAATTTATGGATTTCTGTATTTAACAGAATTGCATTTCAGATCAAAATTTCTTGTGGCCAGATCACTACAAAAAGATTAACTTTAAAACTCATAAGTAAGACATGAAACGTTGATGATCTTTTGGATTTCACTCACTTTTTGCTCACTCCAATTGGCATTTGCAACAGTTTTGAAACAGCACTGGGATTTTTTTTTTTAAATGATGAATCCCCAATTAGACTAAAAATTCTCTTAAGTGTTTTGCTTCATTATTAGTTAAAGGGAAGGAAAGGATAAGAAGAAATGAAGGCCAGTCCCCAAACACCTACTTTAGCCATGTGCTCGTGCTTACCTTGGGTTGGATGGCCTCTTTCTGGCTCACCAGCTGAGACCTCAAGATGAGGACTTCCTCCTTGCGGACATCGAGTTCCTCACTCACGGAGGTCAGCTGCTCCATGAGGACACGGTAGGCAGGGGCACCTGGAGCAGTCACCTCTGGGGCACTTTTCTCGCTAAGGGCCTTGCGTAACTCATTTAGCTCATTTTTCAGTTTTTTGTTTTCTGATTCTAGTTCTTGACGCTGTATGAAGAGACAAAGAAAAGAAAGTTGTCATTATCCCCAACTTTACATTGAAATGCTCAACTTCCCTCAAGCTAGTAGAAGAATTCTGCCGGAGAAGTTTGTCAGAGCTACCCCAGTGAATGTCTTCCTATGTTCTATTGAAAGCTCTACTCTGCTAATTAAGGAAGTCTTACATCAAGTGGAATTGGGCAAGGTCAATGATAGTTTGCTTCATCAACACAAATTCCAGACTTGAATGTATTCTGGCCTGCCCAGGGTGTGTTCACAGGCCTGGAGAGATAGCTGAGTCCCAAGGGGTGAGTTTAGCCAGTCCTAAGGAACCCAGGTTTGTTTGCAGGAAAATATAAGGGCAAATTTGAGGATCCAGCTGGTCAGGGTATTTCCAATGAGTGATTCAGATGGGTGGATCCCTGAAATCTTGAGTAGTGTCCTCTTATTTCCTTTGTAAAGTAGAATGGAAAGACCACTGGAATTTTAGGCCTTTAACTGCTAATTTTGAAAAAATTTACCACATCATTTAAACTGATAAAATTCCTTTAGTGTTTCAATGACAACAAATAATGTATTTTTCAAACTTCTTTCCTGTGTGACATGGTTGTGAAGTTGCAAGCAGAGCCTTGGGGGATGGGAGGAGAGGCTGAAGGCCTCTTCCTTCAACCATCCGTACAGACATACACGTCCCTGGCCACCGCCATACTTTCACATACTACTAGCTACCCTTGGGCCAGCAGTTAGCACCGCCCTCTCCATATTCTATTCAAACAATGGCAATGGGAACCCAGAATAGAGAGGCGCTGACACTAAAACACGAGGGTCACCAGATACCAGTTGGGAAACACTGAAGTAGACGGGCATTTAAAAACACCATGGTGCCTTATTTTGCACAGGACACAAGGCCTGATGATAGTGGAAGTGAGACATTTGTCTATAAAGAATGATATTTTATTGTTTATTCCCAGAGAAGCAATCTTGGTTTATAGCATCATATCAGTCCTGTCAATGTATTACATTAAAACTATTTAAAGTCCGTATTTTTTCTAGTTTAATATGTAACCCTTCCTTCATGAATTAACCTATCCTTTGTGAAAATGAATGTTCCTTGCCTTCCTCAGTCTCCCACCAACTGCTAATCAGATTTGTACTGCTTGTTTCTGTAACAAAAAACACGTCTTTACCTTGATGTGTAAATGCTGATACAGTGTTTCCTAAACTTTCATGTACATCAGAATCACCTGGAGGTCTTGTTAAAACACAGATTGCTGGGCCCCACCCTCAGAGATTCTGATTCAATTGGTCTAGTGGTGGGGAGCCCATAAATCTGCATTTTTGAACAAGTTACCAGGCGACATTGATCCTGCTGGTTCAGGGACCATATTTTGAGAACCACTAATCTGATACTTTGTGACTCTGGGCTTCATTCACACTAAAGGGAATGTTTTTATTTGTCCATTTTTGTGTGAGGCAAAAGATCTGGAGAGCAGATTCCTGCCCCCATCTTTGGTCTGCCCCATCACACCCAATCGGATAGTGGCAGATGCAGCATTTGGATGCAGGCAGCCTGATGCTACAGTCCATGTCCTTTACTACCAGAATCTCCAATGGCAGCTTCTTCTCCTATTCCTGTTTAAACTAAAGTCTAGCATATATGAAATAGAATTTACAAAAGGAAACAACACAAAGCTAGAAGTAATGCCTGAATAAGGCTTAAGCTAGGACCTCTGGTGCACCCTCCAACCCTTAAGGATGTTCTCTGAGAAAGAGAGGCTCTGAGAGGGTCCCTTGCCAAAATAAAATATTCAGAGTCTTGGGCAGAAACTTCCCATTACCTTGAGTGACTCATATTCCAGTTCTGCACCTCTAATTTGTGGTCTTTCTTCTTCCTAGGGAAAATATAAAGTAAAACCTTTATATTTTAATTGTCACATTTTCACTTGTTCTACAGAAAACAGTGAAGAGTTTAGCCCTCAGACTTTAACCAAATGCTGCTTCGTTAGGTTGGGCTCAGCTCCCATTAAAGAAGAGGCTGTAGAAATGACATAAAGCCCCAGCCTCAGCTCCTTGGGCGGGCCAGCACTGCGCACCTTTGCCTTGCTGCGGAGCACCTGCTCTTCCTTGCGGTCCAGCTCATCCTGCATCACCTGCTTCTCCTGCTCAAGCTCTGTGACCCGCTTCTGGAGCTTGAGGAACAATGACATGTCCAGGGGCACCTTCTTCTCGCTTGGCTCCTAAACCCCAAAAAATCCCAAGATGGTCAGGACAAGCCAGAAGACATACAGGCCAATGAGAAAATGATGAATAGCTGAATAGAAAAATAGGCAAACTTGCAGAAAAAGAAATATAAACATCCAAAGAACATACAAAAAAATGCTCAAACTAGCTAACAATTAGAGAAATGCAAATTAAACAGTGAGGTACTACTTCTCCCCTATCAGATTGGCAAAGCCTGAAAAGATTAATAATGCCCTGGGTGTCTCATATGATACTGGTAGAAGTATAAGTAGGCCTATTAAAAGGGCAATTGAGCTGTATGTATTAAAATTTAAATGTGTATACCCTTTAATCTATCAAATCCATGTTTTGAATTAGTCCTACAGAAGTAATTACACAAGTATACAAAAATAAATGGAAAAAGATATTCATTGCAGCAGTTTTTTGTAAAAACTGGCAAGAACTTGAATGTCAGTCAATAGGCCAGTTGCTTAAATAAATTATGGCATAGCCAAACTATGAAATATTTTTTAGCTGTTAAAAAGAACAAAGTAGAGCTATGTAAGCAGATAAATATGCCCTAGATAAAGTATTAAGGGAACACACAAACTGTAGGAGAAAATATATACTATGATCTCATTTTTGTTAATAAAACACAAATATATGTGACTTTTAAATGTACACTTAGCACGTGCATACAAAAATCTTGAAGGCCATAGTGGTTATCTTGGAGGATAGGAGGTACTGTGGAAAAGCTTCATTTTCAACTTTGCACATTTCTGTATTTGAATAGTTTACAATAAGCATGCACATTTGCAGTCAGAAAAAATGATTTTTGAAAAGGTGAAGTGCCAGCATAAATATATTGAGATCAGATAGAGAAAACAACTAAAAACCAAAACATATACAATCAGCCCTCTGTATCTGTGGGTTCTGTATCTGCGGGTTCCACATGCTCATTTTCAACCAACCGGATGGAAAATGTTTGGGGTTTTGAAAAAGCCCCAAACAATAAAAAATAACAGTACAACAATAAAAAATAATACAAATAAAAAAACAATATAGTATAACGACTATTTACATAGTATTTACATTGTATTAGGTATTATAAGTAATCTAGAGATGACTTAAAGTACATGGGAGGATGTACATAGGCTATATGCAAATACTAAGCCATTTTATATAAGGGACTTGATAGGTATTCAAATACTTGAAGAAAAAAAAATAAAGGGATTTGAGTATCCTTGGGTTTTGGTATCTGAGGGAGTCCTGAAACCAATGCCCCACAAATACCAAGGTATGACTGTATATCCCTTAACAAACTGAAGGATAACCTAGTAGCATTTTAAAGTGTGTCAACTGGTTCCAAAACAGAATCACAGTGAGAACTTATAAGATAAATAAAGATATGCTAATTAAAGCTTAAAAAATGGAAAGAACTAGCCATCATCATGGAAGTTCTGAGAGTGTTTTATCTTGTTAACTTTGGGTTTTAACTTTTAATAAAATAAGATAAATAATCAGATCATTAGATTTAATGTAGAGAATAAAGAGTCTCTTTTTGTTGGGGAGGAGGTAGTGAGGAGATGGAAAACAGTAACAATAACTGATTTATTTAACAAAATGGTCAGAAAGTGTAATTCTTAAAGATTAGCAAATCTTTTATCTTTTCAATTGTCCATTTTATGAAAAGAATGTTTATTTTTGCTTTTCTGATATGAAAGCAAAACAAAATTTTGTAGAAAATGTAGGAAATAAGAAAAGTACAAAGAAGAAAAACAGGCATAATCCCATATCCAGAGAAAAACCACTATTTTTGCCTAGTCTTTTTGCTATACACTTATAGATTTAAAGAATTAGAATAATATTTTTATTATAATTTTTTATTGTCTTTTAAAGGTAGTACTGTATTACAATTGTTTTCCAAATTTACAGTATGATAAGTTGTATCATCATTTGCTTAGCTTATTACCTTATTAATGGGCACTGAGGTTGTTTCTAATTTTTTGCTATTGGAACATTAATGTTTTTAATGTGTTAAGGGCCAATTTATACTTCTATCAGCAACTGCCATCTGGCCTAGAACAGCAGTAACTGTTATAATTAAAAAAAAAAATTTTATCTCAGTTAATAGACCCAAAAATGGCATTTCATTGTTATTTTAATTTGTATTTTTTTGACTTTTGATGAGATTAAATAGTTTTTTTTTGAGACAGGGTCTCTCTCTGTCACCTGGGCTAGAGTGCAGTGGCATTATCATAGCTCATTGCAACCTCAAACTCTTGGGCTCAAGCCCTCCTCCTGCCTCAGCCACCTGAGTAGCTGGGACTACAGGCATGTGCCACCACACCTGGCTAATTTTTCTGTTTTTTGTAGAGATGAAGTTTCACTCTTGCTCAGGCTGGTGTCGAACTCCTGACCTCAAGTGATCCTCTCGCCTAGACCTCCCAAAGTGCTAGGATTACAGGCGTGAGCCACTGTGCCCAATCCAAGATTGAATATTTTTATATTTTCAGGAATTTTATATTCGTTAGCTACTTTTGGTCTTTTATGAATTCTTTTTTTTTTTTTTGAGATAGGGCATCATATCTCACTGCAATCTTAAACTGCTAGGCTCAAGCGATCCTGCTGCCTCAGCCTCCAAAGTAGCTGGGACTACAGGTGCTCACCACCATGCCCATCTAGTTTTGAAAAAATTTTTTGTAGAGACTGGGTCTCACTATGTTGCTCAGGCTGGTCTTGAACTCCTGGTCTCAAGTGATCCTCCCACCTTAGCCACCCGAAGTGTTAGGATTATAGGTGTGAGCCACTGTGCCCAGCCTTTTATGAATTCTGAGCAGTGCTGAGTTCAGTGCTATTCCACTTCTCAAAATGACCTAAGAAGAATCAACTGAACTAAGAAGTAGGCACTTATAGATAGTTAAGGTCATTCGCCCACAGCTAATTATACCTGGACTCTTTCTTACTGTCCACTTTGTAACACTCAACAGTAAAAGTTTAGGTATATGATCTTGTTTCAACATTATTATAGAATTTCATTCATATAAAAATTCTTTTGTATATGTCCTATGTATTTAAGTATAAGCTAAATACTTATATTTTAACTTATTTATAATTTAAACATTCTATTTTATATGTTTAATGTTTGTTCATTTATTAATGATGTACATGTCCCTGAATATTTTAATTATTTAATCTTTTTTTACACTATATTAGAAATTCTACAAATGAATATAATACTTCATCCATTGTACCTAAAATGTCATCATTTGGAAATCATTCCTTTGAACCTTCAATGGGCATTTTTGTTTCAAAGGAATCCTCTTATTAAAATGGGATGGGGTAACTCCTTATATATCAGCTAAAACTAATAAAGAATTAGTTGATTGCTAGATAAGAGCAAAATTCTATGAATAAGAATATTAAAATAGAAGACGGAAGAACACAAAAGATAACATCTGACAAATGCAAAGTTACTTGAGGCATAAAGATTGGTAATTATTTAAGAGTGCTCTGGATGGTGCCCATTCTTATCCCTAATGACACATCTAATTAAAGAGATGCCATTTGTCCTTGCCATACCACATGAGCAAGAAGGAAGATTGGCCCATCTGGCCCAGAGAAGTTTCTGGGTTTTGTTTTGCTTTCCTTTCTTAGTAAAGACTTTGTCACCTGGGGCTTTTTTAAGAGAGTGAAGCTTTGAAACTGACCTAAAAAATAACACCAATCTGTTGTCTGAAAAAAAATCAAGAAGATAACAGAATTTATTCATAAAATTACCACTACAGGCCTGGCAGTCATTCTGGAATTATTCCTAACAATAGCTGACAAAGTTATGATGATTTTTTCTTTGGGTTTGGCAGGTATGAGGATGTTTGAGAGCAGAGTAGAACTGGGCCAATCAGTCAATGGCTACCAGAAGAGGTGCACGACCAAGCAGGGAGGAGCAATGACTCCAGAACGATGTAAACCAGCCCATGAAGATTCTGGAAGTGTGGGAGGGCTGCAAAACAAGTAGAGCTGGCGGGCGAATTCTCCAGAGAGAAACAGCAATGGAGAGAGAAATAGCAATAGCCATCATGACTCATGAACAACAAATCACAGGTTTTAATTCCTTTGTTACATAAAATTTGCTGTTATTACATGATGAGACTGGAATTCTATTCCCAAAAGTCTGACAGACACCACCCTATTCTAATTAAAAAAATATATATTAAACAAGAGTGGGCCTATTATTTTCCTGGCACCAGATTCTAAAAGAGTTACTTTGTACATATAAGAGCTGAAAGTTTTCCTTATGTCTTTAGGGAGGCTATTTGTAAACCTGGCCATTACAGAGGTAGCTTCAGAAAGAAATCCAAACCTGGAAGTCATAAGTAATTAGAAGGAGAAATTCACAGCCAGTCACAGTCTTTGGCTGGTATCTCTCTCCCGCCCAACTTCTCTTCTGATAATAAATCTTTTTCTATTACCAGTTATATAGATTTCTACCTCTACCTTTCTGATCCTGGCCACATACAGTCAGAATTGTGGGGTGATCACTAAAAGCCTATTTATTAGAGCAAAAACATTTATTTATTATTTATTATATACCAGACACTGTTTAATTGTTTTATACAAATGAACTCATTTAATACTTAAAACATTGCTAAAAGGTAAGACAGTAGTAACATCCCCACTTCACAAATGAGGAAACAGAGTCAAAGAGAGAATGAGGCTAAGGTTATGGATTCAGTCCCAAGGAGAAGAGTTACTGCAGTTTGTCCCATTGTAAAAATAGCCCTCCTAGCAAAAGCCAGCCACATTTCAGATGCATGTCCTTACTTACAAGGGACTGTTCTCAAGCATGACTTGCTCAGTGAAATCCCTTCCCCTTTATTGAGAAAAGACTTCTGGTGTGTGACCTACTGCTGGTGGTTCAGTACACATGAAGGACATTATACAATACTCCAAGATCTTTCTGTGATTTGTAGAGCACAATTGATACTTCATTATTTGAAAAGAAGTGAAAATTGTACTAAATCCCACACTAGTCTCTCTCTTAATGTGAGATAATTTCAGCAGAAAACAGGTGAGAATTAGAAACAAAAAGTTTACCTCCCCAGATCTGTAAGAATCTGGAGAAAACTTTAAAAGAGTAGAGTGAAAAGAGCAGAGATCCTGACAAACACGATTACTAGTAAAAATTAGGTAAAGTATTGTATATAAGAGTTTTTGAGTTTAAAAATGTGATGTCCTCAAACAAAACTATCAGCGTGAGCCCTCCTTGTCCTGAATTTAATACAGAATAATTTCCAGCCAAAACACCCTTTTTGTCATGGCTTCCCCCTCTCATAGAGCAGGAGCTGTTCAAACGATACTACAATGAAGTGGACACTTTGTAAACGGGCTTCCCTCAGACTACTAGGAATGAGTACTCCCACTGCGATCAACAGGATGCAATCCTAAAACCTTCATATCCACCAAAGGCTCAGAAGTCTTAATTTTGAAATCTTCATAAGCCTAACTTTGTAGTATTCTCCAAAGATGGCCACCAACAATTCCTCTCAATACACATGTCCTTCCTCCCATCAAGAGATGGAGTCTATTTTCCTCTCCTTGAATCTGGGCTGGTCTTGTGATTTGCTTTGACCATACTGTGGCAGAATTGAAACTGGGCCAGTTTCGAGCCTAACTCTAAGAGGCCTGCCATTTTTCACTCTCATACCCTTAGAACCCACCCAATCTGCTGCTGAAGAGAAAGGCTCCATGGAGAGGCCCAAGGAAGAGAGCCAAGCAACCTGGCTGAATGCAGCTGAGGAGGCACTCTGACCACCACCATGTGGGGCAGAAGAACCACCGAGTCAAATCCCACAGAATTATAAGTAATAATAAATTGCCATTGTTTAAAACCACTAAAACTTGGGATAGTTTATTGTATAACAATAGATAATTGGAAAAACCTCTATCCTGCTACATACTGGCCATACCATCATATCCATGGGCCTCAGCCTAATATTAGCTATAGAGAGAAAAGGGATTGGAAAACTGTAGTGTAGAATTCCTAGATGGAAGTCAGTAGAATATGGTCCCTAAGAACATGAACTCCAAAGAGACAAGCCTTGGTTAGAATATTGGCTCTGACACAAGCTGTGAATTTGAACAAATACTTATTAGCCTTCTTGTATATATAATTCCAACTAGATGATAGTCCAACTATATAACATTTTTCTTCAAACTTAACAGAATGAGATGGCAGAAGCTCTTCATTCTTAAGTAGAACTAAGACAAGAAAGGAAATAATCATTCAATTTTTTTCAGCTATTCTGCCAGAAGCAATCTATTTCTGACTTGGCCATTTTCAAAGAATATGATATAAAAATAGAACAGTTGGGCCTGAATTACCCATTATGGAAACTATATCATATTTGAAAAGAAGATCTGAGGATTAGTTGAGAATAATCACTGTACTTTTGGAGTTACAGTAATACATCATTTTGATGTCATAACGCATAACACAAAACATTAAGGCAGATTTCTGAACTATTTTCCATGTATTTTTGTGGAAGAAAATTACATTGGTAAAAACTAATATCACAAGTAGAAGTACCATTCGATCCAGCAATCCCATTACTGGGCATCTACCCAAAAGACCAAATGATACTCTATAAGAAAGACACCTGCATCCGAATGTTTACAGCAGCACAATTCACAATTGCAAAGATGTGGAAACAACCCAAGTGTCCATCAATACATGAGTGGATTAATAAAATGTGGTATATGTATACCATGGAGTACTATTCAGCTTTAAGAAACAATGGTGATATAGCACCTCTTGTATACTCCTGGATAGAGCTGGAACGCATTCTACTAAGTGAGGTATCCCAAGAATGGAAAGACAAGCACCACATGTACTCACCATCAAATTGGTATTAACCGATCAACACATAAATGCACATATAAGAATAACATCTATTGGATGTTGGGCAGGGGGGAGGGGGAGGGGGAGGTGAGAGGAGGGGACGGGTATCTGCATACACAAAGAGTGCAATGCGCACCACCCGAAGGATGGACATATTTGAAACTCAGACTTGGGGGGAGGGGGCAAGGGCAACATATGTAACCTAAACATCTGTACCCCCATAATATGCTGAAATAAAAAAAAAAAAAACTAATATCAAACAGAGGCAGGAGTTTTGCTAAAGTCTTGGACAATGACATTTATAATATTTAAGGACAAAAGGTTTATTTTTTAAACAATTTACCTCAGTCTGAAATAAATTCCTGATAGGCTGTATTTTCTTTACACAGAATATGTTAAGGTATTACAGAGGGAATTAAAAAAGAAAAATCTCACCATCAAAGATAAAAATTTAAATTGTGTATTGACAAAAATATATGTAATAAGTATGTATGTACACAGCACTTATGTGCACATAAATATGTATATAAGAGAAGTATGTATCCACAAATTGCTTATGAAGAATAAACGACTGACACAAATGCTATGTTTATGGGCAAGTGGAGTCTGCTCTGCAGTGGGAATGCTCCCTGCTAACAACAGCACGGTCACCTCCTACTTTTAGTGACAGATGTCTAAAATGTACCTCTGTCCTAAATGGAATGTCTTCTGTTTCTGCAATTTCAGAGCTGAAGGTATATTCAGACTCGTTGCTGCTGTGGGTGGAGTCAGTTCTCTTGTGTCCAGGCTTAGGCACATTCTGCAAGGCAAATAACCCAGGTATAATTAACATAACATAATCAAACTAGGCATAGTTAAGACAGCATCTGCCTTGACTTGGTTCTTATCCCCATTCACTGACTTCCTGTACTGATGCCCAAATGATGTTTTCCATATTGTTTGACCAAATCGTTAAAAAGGGTCACCTCCTCAAAAAGAAAGAGGTACACCAGCATGGCATGACAAGAATAGTTGCAAAACCAAATACCCAAATGAAAATCACCTGAATATTGGCAGAGTTCCCTTTAGGTGTTTAGAGTTTTGAGTGGTCAGTCACACTGGATAAAGGTTTGATGTCTCAGCATCCAAGCACTGACTCAAGCGTTGCAATCAAATAAAATTTACTAAGAAGTTCATAAAATATATTTAATAACATACATAATCATTTTACTACATGATAATTGGGCATAAATGCTAAAAAAAAAAAGGTGGCAGAGGGGGTTCACAGAGGTAACTATAATTTCTGTCACTTTTATACATGAAGTTAGCTAGAGTAAGCAGTACAGGGGAGGTAAGAAAGCTGCTCTAAGAATCTTCTGACGATCCCTGGGTTATTAATTCGGGCAGACCAGGTGGCATTTTTTTTTTTTTTTTAAGTAGAGATGAGGTCTTGCTATGTTGCCCAGGCTGGACTCCTAGCAATTCTCCTGCCTTAGCCTCCCTGGGAGCTGTGACTACAGGTGTGCGCCACTATGCCTGGCTGGTGACACTTTAATGACATATGATACCTATGAAATTAGTGTTCAGAAAGCTTATGGGGAATAGAAAAGTTAAGCAATTACTACCCATTTCCCTCTGTAGGAGAAGGTATTAGAAAGTCACTTGAAGGAAGAAGGAATAGAAAGGTTGGGTTTGTGACCCTCACTCTTAGGATGTTCTCAGCAGGTGAGGTGGAAAGTTTCAGTGACCTGAATATCCCAGGGTTACAGATCCTGAGAGCTTCAGAAAGGCCTCTGAGATCTTTCTGATCTGTCCAATTTTCTTTACCCCTTCTACCAGCTGCAGGAAAAGAGCTGGAAGCCACAAAGGGCTTCTTTGTCTCTTTCTTTCCAACATCCAGGCTTATAAAAAGCAGACTCACCCAGGGGCAGTTAAAAGTCTCCCAGGCCAGGCCAACCTGTACTCCAACATGAAGGAAGACCCAAGAACACCAGAACTTCTGGAACTAACTATCCAGAAGCAGGGGTGTACATTAAAGTGGAGAATCACCACACACGAAGCCAAAGGCACTTGGAGTTACTGTTTATATACACAGGCACTCCTAAAGTTCCCAGGCCAAGCCCCCACAGTTGTATGGGATGGCAGTTATTTAATAAAGTGGTTATGTCATTAAGGAAAACAGATATGTCAAGATAAACACCAGGATGAAGATTTTTAATAAGCATGTTAAAAATGAGAGAGATCTCTATTTTCCCACATATATCTATCTTTAAACAATGAACACCTGAAGGTATTAATAAAAGCAATGTTGCTATTTGCTTTGTAAGGTGACTTTTGGATACAGGGTAATGGTTAAGTGCTCTGGGTCTGAAACAAATGAGAATTAGGTAGGGATCCCAGCTCTGTCACTTACTCTTGCCTCACCCAACTTCTCCAGGCCTCGGTTTCATTATTGGGAAGAAAGGAACAATAATTTCTATTTCATAGAGTTTACGTGAGGATTAAATAAGAATGTGCAATGAAGTGTTTAGGCTAGCATGTAACAAGCATTTGATAAATGTTAACTGCGGCTTCTATGACTCTTAGGGCCCTGTAGTAACTCAACAACCTCCCCATTGGTGATTTTTCAGTTCTCCAAGTTTTTAGGATTCTGTTTCCCTGTTCATATGTTATTCAATTACAAGAATATACACTTGACTCCACCGTCATGTTCTCCTTTGAGATCTGCATCTCACTCCTCTTCTGCTCCTTATCTGTCATTTCTCCCATAATTTCTTCTTTTCTAGAACCTAGTTTATTCTCTTTGTCAAGACTAATGACCCCATTGTTCACAAGCTGGATTCCCTCCTAACTCTGGAATTAATTTATCTTTAAACAATTAGTTTATCTTTAAACACTTCACAAGCCTGGATTCCCTTGCCTCATTATCTTTTCATTGTTGACTTGAAAATCCTTAGCCTTGAATCAGTGTTTTCCTCATTGCTTCTGCCCCTAAATTCCCTGGACAATTCAACGTTTTTGGAGAAAAATTCTATTTAATATAACACTTCTTGTACTAGGGTCAACCACTCTAGAGCCTGGTAATCAGTGACACTATAAACGTACTAGTGTTCTTTGGCCCATATATCACATAGATTATGGAAAGCCCTTGAAGTAGTCTACCATTCCCCTTCCTAAAGTTTCCTCCGTCCATCAGAGGAATCTATTTACAACAAAATGCTTCATTAGCTCTGGATTACGGCAGTGAGAGCTCCATTCTTGGCAAATACTCTCTTCAAAGGCTATGATCTTGAAGGTATCTAGAGCTAGGAAATGAGACCTAGTGCAGAGCTGAGCAGGAAGCAAACAAGTTCTGATCTCCCTTCTTCTGCTTTCTCCTTTTCCCTTCCTCGGACCATTTTGTCACCCAAGAGGAATGACAGTGAGTCACAGGCATACCATGGACAGGAATAATGACTGAAAAATAAGAAATCAAGCAGCTAAAACTACCCCTGGAGCACTGCTGTGAACAGAAGGAGAGCAGGCAGAGACTTGCTTAGCAGGAAGGAGGAGCCGTATTGAGCAACTGGAGGATGGTCATCGCTAGAGGGCCTTTTCTAGGGAGATGACTACCTTGTTGACCAAAAAGACCCACAACCTCACAGATGTCTCTGGAATATGCTCAGAGAGGGATCAGAGAAGCATGGCACATGCTTCTCTCATTTTATTTTCTGAGATTCATAAGGCATATACTACTAAAGAATCAAATAAATTCTGTAGAAGAAAAATCTGTTTGTTTCTGTTTAACCTGGTTGATTACCACATTTATTTGACCTCAGAATCATTTCTTTTCCAATTCCACTTTTTAACATCCCAACTAACGAGGGGCCTCAGAAACATCCAGTGGGATATAAAGCTTACCTCTGACCATAACTGAAACACAGATTAACTATAAATGTTGGCATGGTTATCTAGTAAATAGAGTGAATAAAAATATACAGAAGAATGGAACACAAGGAACATGAGTGTTGGAGAAGAAAAGGATGCTAGAGAAAGTGAAGAAGCACAGAATGTGAAAGGGAAAAGGCTTCAATGGGGCCAAATGCAGTATGGCAATCAAGGAAGACAGGCTTGACAAGGGTCCTTAGATTTGTCAATTATATGGATAACAGTGACTTGCTCCAACTTCTAATTTGTCTTCGTCATCACGTATAAATCAGGGTAGAGTAGTGAGGTTTGAAATAATACTCCACCATGAGATTTATGTTAGCTTTTTAACCTTTTTTAGACAAGATTTTCTCATCTGAAAGATGATGGGAACATTTCTTCTGTGTTACGTAATCCTTTTTATTTTGACTTTTTAAGTGTCACATTTTAAAGAACTTTGTCAGTAGATCCAGATAGAAGCAAAATTTGAAGCAAATACTCTACCCCACAGAAATCGAATTATCTTGCTTTTTATAAGAGATTATTTCAGAACAGTTCTGGCCATCTGTACCATTAGGTTACCTTTAAGGCTGATACTTGTAATGAACAAGAGAGCTAGGGAACTCTCTGTTTCCTGACAGCAGGATAAGCAGAACAGGGAGTGTGTGCAAACTCCAAGTACAAAATGTACAATGACAAATACAGAAGAGTCCTTGGAATAGATAATTTATTATAAATAGAGTCTGAATTTTCTTTCTATAGGAATATATCTTTGAAATAATAATAAGAACCAATGGAGGAAATACTCGATTATATAAATATTTGCTTTATATGCAAATTTTACCTTAAGCCATTTGATATCTAAAACAAAGTCCATCTGTATTGACATTATACTACCTTATAGTCCAGTCTTTAAAGTGTTTGACTTTACTGAAGTACTTGTGAATAACGTTATATGATTTCTGGGATTTGCTTTAAAATAATCCAATCCATTGGATGGGTAGGGTGGGGTGTGGAATGGGAGGTAGAGATGTGTTGACCATTTTGGAACTGGGTGATGGGTACATGGAGGATATGGAAGTTCATTCTACTATTTTATCTACTTTTGTATATCTTTAAAGTTTTTCATTTAAGGTAAAAAGCAGCTGGGTGTGGTATTGTGTACCTGTAGTCCCAGCTACTCAGGAGGCTAAGGTGGGATGATTACTTAGACCAGGAGTTCAAGACCAGCCTGGGCCACAGAGTGAGACCTCATCTCAGGAAGAAAAAAAGTGTCTGACTCACCACCATCAGGGTCATCTCTTCCTTGAGATCATCATATCGTTCTTCTAGGCGACTGAATTCATTCAGAAGGTTCTGATATCTCAACCTTTCATCATTAAGATCAAGTTCCAGTTGTTTTGTTTCTTCTACTAACTTCTTCTCCATAGTTTCTGAAAGAAAGAAGAGGGATATGCATACCAAAGATGGCTCCACAGAGTGCAAGAACTTAAACATGTACACTAACTTCTAGTTTCTCTGCAGGGGATTTTAATTTAGCACCACTATGATCTATGAAGAGTATCTTAGTGAATGTAGGGAAAGAAAAAATATGCCCCAAAAAGGAAATTAAGTCATTTACTGAGTTCTTCCATGTACTACAGCCTTAGTCCCACTAGTTATACTGGTTATAGCACATCCCTGAAAAACTTCCTAGTTACTGTCTAGTATTAAAGTATACAGTTTTTTATTCTAGTGCTATTCATAAAATTCTTTTGTTCAAATTAGTGTACTCTCTCAAAAAGCCAGAGGTATGTTTCAAGGGAATGGCAAGTTTTCAGTGGACCTGGCTGTCCTACTCTACAGAGCCTCTGTCAGTTCATCTTAGTCCCATGGTTTTATCTGATAATTTTCTAGTACTTTGAACTCCCTCGCTGTCCTATTACTGCCCCATTTCTAACCAGATAAAATACTCAGACCTGGCCACCTGAGTTGTGTACTTCTTGGTCATTCCCTATGTGCTGCTCGGGAAACCCTAGCTTTTCTACTCATACACCCCACTCTGCCCTCTCAGTTGCAATAGCTTGCATTTGGATAGGACACAGTCTGAAGATTGGAGATTAGCCCCTGACTGCAGATAAAGCAAAAAAACAAAGCCTCAAATCTTGGCTATGTGTTTTAACTCCATGAGCCAACCAGTCACATTTATAACATTAAGCTTCCTACCACTCTGCTCCATGTTATCCTTGTATTTTGTGGCTAAATCTTAACCACTCTGCCTGCACTGTTTCTTCACCATTCCTTTCTCTGTCAGCGCCACGAGGCAAGGGCTGCCAGTCTCTTGTCAGAACTGCTTCCCTGGAGCCCACCATAGTGCTTCCCTAGAGTAGGACTTTCATAATTTGTCAATGAATGAATGAAAGAATTTCTTCTCTCTGAAACATTCTACAAATTGCCTTTTATTCTCACCAGTTTGGTAGAAGACTACCAACAAATTTTCCCTAGGCAAATTCATGTTATTTCTTTGTTCTTATATAGTTCAATTTCAAATGATATTTTGTATTTTCCTAGAAGATTCTCAGCATTCTAGATCCTTTTTTCACATTGTGCATCCTAGAATCTTTCTTTCCAGGTCTTCAGCGACTCTGTTTTCTACTTCCTTTCTTAATTTTCTTTTCTGCCTTCTTTTTCTTCATCTTATCCCTTAGTATGTTCATTAAACCAGGTTTTGTTTTCTTTCCGTTACATCATCTCCTTCAACCAGGAGGGAAGGGGCAGTATGGGGAAAAGCACAGAGGGCTCTCTTATCACCACAGTTTTAATGGGTACCTGCATGCTCATTTCTTATTTTCTCTCTAATCTTTAATCTGGATTTGCTTTTGGAACACCTCCATGGTGAGGCCCTAACTGACATCCAAAACTTAACACTCTAACAACTGATCTCAATAATTTGTCTTATGAACAGGTACTTTTTTTCTCAATTTCCTCATTACTAATAATACACCATCATTGTTTTGGTACTTCATCTTAAAACTTTAGAATATTTTTATCTTTTCTGAATATCATATAAAAATGATAACATTCTGTTGATTATTTTCATATATCCTCATTCCAACCCTTCTCTTTCATTTCTACCACGAATTACTGTAGTTTAGATCTATATCTTTTCATCCCATTTTTATATATATATATATATATATATATATATATGGATTCTTTGTAAAGAATCATTCTAATATACTCCACAAACAGCAAGTAGAATAAATGTTCACATCTAATTAGTTCTCTGTTAAAAAATTTAGAGTGTTTTTTTTAGATTGGTGGTAAAGAATGGTGAATCTTAAAAGAGTAAACGTCTGTTGGGTTTAGCAAAAAAATAAATAAGTAAAAACAATATGAACATATATACATATTAGCTCAAGAATTCTTATTCAATCAATAGAAATCCTATAAGCCATACGTGCAGAACAAATTAATTTCTTAAAAAATTACGTATGACATTTGACTGAACATGAGGCCATAGCTGTACACAGACCAGATTTACAAGTTCACCAACTAATTCAACCAAAATATTTGGAACTCTTGCCTCTTGAAACTTTGTAAATTTACAGAGGACAGCCTCAACTTTTTAAAATATTTAACCTCTAAGCAATGCTGTAACTCATAAAATAACATTGTAACTTATAAAACTTTGCTAAGAGGTTGGCTTGCTATAGCGGTTTGGGCTCGCGTGAGCCTTACCTGTCATCTCCTTAGCCTGTTCCACAATACGGTGATTGAGGGCTTCTTTTTCCTGTTTCAGCAAAATATTTTCTTCCTTCAGATTTGATACCAGCTATAAAATGAAACAATAAACTGAGATGGCACTAATGGACAGAAGAAGCCTGACTGTTAAGTCTAAAGACCACACAGCAGTTTCTTCTTGCTTCCACCATTTCTTAGCTCATGTCTTTGCCAAGTTGTGTCTAGTCACCCTTCAAATTTGGCTCCAGTATTACCCACTCCAGAAAGCCTTCCTGGAAACTCCCTCCAATTAGATGTTTTTATCTATGAGCTACTGCAAGACCCTATATATGCCTCTTACAGCCCCTAGAAAAGATTTACTTTTCTCTCTCCAGAATAGACTAGAATTTCCTAGAGGACAAGAATGGTGGTGCTATTGTTTTACTTTGTACCTTAAACATTTAGCAATTTCCTGGAATCTAGTCATCATTTACTCTTGAAGCAAGGATATTACCTTCTCATCTAAGCACCTTAACACAAAGCTTATGTGTACCCATCATTCAAGTGGAGAGATTAAGGAAGTTAAGAAGGTCATGAGGGCGTTTTAGTTTGGGAAATTCACTGACGACCTGACACTCTCTGCTGTCAGTCTTGAAAAAACAGTTTTCCTTTCATCTCCTTTTAAGAGTTTTGATCTTACAGCAATGTCAGTGTATATAATGTCACAGAACTGTACACTTAAAAATAGTGAAAGTGGTAAATTTTATGTTATGTGTATTTACCACAAGTTTTAAAAAAGCACTGATCCTTAACTTTCTAGTTTCTGACTGGATCAGGATTCACAGGAAGCAAAAATCAAAAGGTAACTTTGCTAAGTACATAATTTACTCAGTTCATCTTTGGAATAAAATATGTGTTTGCAACGAGTGAAATCTGAAATCCTTTCTCTAAGCATAAGTACAAGGAACTCTCAGAGTGAGAGCTTTAATAATAAAGAGAAAGATGGCAGGCAAATCTCTCATGTCAGGGGTTCAGAGCCAGGGAAAGAGGGCTCTGTGATTGAAGGATCCTGGGAGGCCAAGAAAGTTAGATAACAACAGAGTGCCACGGCAGAAGTCAGTCCAGAAGGGATGTCTTCTGATAGTTCAGTCTCTTCCCTCTGTACTGACAGGGCCTTAACACCTACTCCCAGTAAAAAGGCTGGAGTTCTCTGTAGGCTCTGAAGAGAGGCTTCTCTTTGGCAAGGGTGTGCAATCAATCACCTGTGGTGCTTTTTCAAAATACACATGCCTAGCCCACACTCTGAGAGCTTGGACAGATCCCTTTTTAAAAAACTCTCCAGCAGATTCTGATACACAGTCCTGATTAAAAGCCGTAGCTCTAGTAAATTCTGGGCTCCTTGATCAGGCTGACTGAGAATGTCATCTTCTTGACCATGGAAGATGGTCACAGTAAAATAGTCACAGTAAAATAGTTTACTGTCACAGTAAAATAGTTTCCTTCTTCCCTATCACTACACTCCTTCACAAGGATTAATGGTAGTGCCTATAGCTTTCCCTGTGAAAAGTAGAAGACAATGAAACAAAATGAAAGGAGCACTCTGAATCTGTTATATACTATTCTATCAGACTAAAAAGGCAAGAACTTGGCTTTGAAGAGGAAAAAATACTCTTTCCACCAAGCTTAAATATTCTACACATTCAGAGGAATCTAGAAAGCTTCCATAGACTCAGGAGACTTAAAGGAAGAAAAGAGATCTTAAAAATTCAAGAATATCCCTTAGAATGTACATTGAAATTCAGAGAGAACAATTTTGCCATGTCAAAACAACACCACATTAAAAAGGAAAACATTACATAGTGGCATGGTGGTTTCTATACAGAGTCCAGATCTACCAGAGATATAGAAGGAATTATTTTGTTGGGACTCTGAATACTGTGGAGGGATTGCAATTTTACTAGCTACTCTATTCCAACCGAACTGCATCTAAGCTCTCACTAAGGTTCTCTCTGCACATGCTGCTGTTAACATTCAGAAGTCAGTACAAAAAAAGCTTGCCAGCAGTTATAGCTGATACAGTCAACTCTGTTTTCATTTAAAGATGGCAATACCAGTGGAATTTCTGAAAACCAATTACTTTTTTCCAGTAAACCTAATGTTGAGGTACTTTTATGTTTTAACAGTACCTCTCATTACTACTTGAGAACATTAATGTTTTCTGTACTTAATAAAGTTTTGATATAAGTTAATACAAATTTGTAGCATTGAAGCACTGATCAATTTGTAAGCATTTTTTTTAATTTTTGCATCATGGTGGGTTCTACCAGCATAGCAGCTCTTAGCTATGATCATCATGCAGACATTTGGATTTCTTCTGCTTGGACTTCTTAACATAACCTTAATGCAGGTTTCCACAAGGATCGCTACTATCAGGTATTAATAGTTCATTGTTTGATTTGCTTCTTAATCACATTAACTCTACTGGAAAAAAAGGGAATCTATACTCCATCCAGACCAACATGTTTTGAAAAAAGAACATGCGGTAGGTACTTGGCCGCTAACTCTCTTCTTAAAATATTGCTTTGCCTCTGTTAGTCAAAGGTTCTGCCAAAAGACCTAAAGCCTACTCATCGATCATGTGGGAGAAATGTTTGGGAAACAGTAATAATGAATAGTAAACCAATGGAAACTTGTATTATACCTTCGATTAAAACCAACATTGAGGAACATGGACAAGGTCAAGATGACAGCATATTTCCTCTGTGTAAGGATGGGGATATGGACATAGTTCCTACCTCTTCTGTTTCCTGTTTGTACCTATCTGCACGTTCCTCAATGCATTTTTTCTCTGACTGAGTCTGTTCCAGGTCTTTCCGGAGCTTAGCAATTTCTTCCTGCAGACTAAGGACCCGCCCAGTGGCGATCTTAGCTTCTTCTTCACTTAGTTGAAGACGTTCTAAGTCACTTCGTAGTTTCTCAGTCTCAGAGTTGTATATTCCTTCCAGATTGGTCAGTTTCTCCATGAGGCATTTGTAATCTTTGTTCTTTAAACACACACATAAGTAACAATAAGTAAATATACATATCATCAAATGTATTTAGTAAGAAAACCATGCTTATTCATCACATTCATGCTATATCATCATAGCGTTGATATAGTATCTAACCACAACATTTGCAATACACAACCAATACCTTCTCGATGACACAAAGAGAGAAGAAAACAGGCACAATTAATTTTGCTTTACATGATGAGTAACATAGATATGATTTCTTCATAGTCACAAGGTGAATTACATAGCAAATTCTTAATTTGCTTATTCTTAATCAAAAGTGGGAGAATCTTACTTGCTTTTGAAAATAGATCAAAGTTCTGCAAAAACCAAATACTAGTAAGTGATACATAAGAATGATAAAATGGCCTCAAAACCACAAGTTTTCTACAAATTTTTGTTTACTACTTCAAAATTTCCCACTCTTACACAGAAAATCTTTCTGATGAGTACCATTTCATTCTGATCCCTGTTTTTCTTTGCCCTCCTTAGTATTTATATATTCTTAATTACCTTCATATCATTTGCATGTACTAAAATATTACCTAGTAACTACCTCTAAGTAATCAAACTTATTTTTTTTATTTTTATTTTTTTGAGACAGAGTCTTGCTCTGTTGCCCGGGCTAGAGTGCCATGGTGTCAGCCTAGCTCACAGCAACCTCAAACTC